ATATTTCTTAGTTTGAATTTAAAAATAATCTATTTTATTCTAAAAAATGCTTATATATTCTAAAAGACAAAGCATAACTATGATTTCTTTAAGCTTGTCATGAATTTTTAATAATTGGATATTTTTGATACAACAAAATTTTGGAGATAATATCTAAAGATTTTTGGTGACCTCAAATATTGAGAGATGTCCACGACATTATACAATTATGTGACATTCATTCAAGATAAAAAAATCCCTTGTCATCAATTTTATAGACTTCTTTAACCATATCTATTTTGGAACAACTATGGTCTTTTGTTTTATAGATTTTATGATAGATCTTTTATTTCAAATTCTTATAATTCTATATTTGTGATAGTAGATTATTTCATTAAGATGGTACATTCTATATTATGTACAAAATCTATCACAATTAAAGAAATAGCCAGGTTTTTTTTATAATATCTATTACTACTATAGATTGTCCAAGGATATTATATCAAATAGGAGGACACAATTTATATCAAGCTTTTGAAAAATTCTTTTTAAAGATTCTAAAGATGGACTTAAAATTATCCTTGGTTTTTTATCTTCAAATTGATAGACAAATAGAGTGTCTAAATCAAATTTTATAATAGTATTTGAAGAATATCATCAACTACCATCAAAATAATTGAACAATTTTTTTGCCATTGACAGAATTTACCTATAATTATATAGTAAATTTTTCTATTCAAGAAGTACCTTTCTTTACTAATTACAATTATCATCCATGATTTGATATTTTTGACTTTTTAAAATTTATTAATTCAATAGAAAAAAATTTAATAAATCATTTATTAGAGCTACATACAATAAAAAAAGGTACAATTAAAAAAAAATCAAGAATAATAATAGATTAGGATAGATGCCTATTCTAAGAAATAACCTCAATTTGAAGTTGCTGATAAGGTATAATTACTTTGTGATAACATTAAGGCTATTTTCTTTGTGATAAGTTAGATTACCATAGACTTAGACTATTTCATATATGTGAATAAATCCATCTAGTTTCTTAGCAATTACATTTATTGGAGTCTATAAAGATTCGTTATATATTTCATATATTCCTTCTTAAACCTTATAAGATGCCAAATATCTCAAGAAAAAGACAAATGTCACTGCATCCTATAATAGTGGATAATAATTAAGAGTTCAAGGTGGAATATGTTTAAGATTGAAGGCAGTGTCGAAATAGTTTGAAAAATCTTATTTATTGACATAGATATGATATTACTCAATGCACATGGAAACCAACCAAGAATCTTTGAAATGCAATAAAAAGAGTTGATGCTTTTCATTGACAACATCCATCAAAATCAAGATGAAGAATAACAAATCTTTGCTACAAAAGAAATGTGGTTCATGAAATATTATATTTTATTTTTTATCCTTGTTTGTAGTTTTTTTATATTTATGACCTTAAAGAGATGGAGAATCCATAGTCAAAAGAATTAAATCAAGAACTATTATTTTTTGGCTTATTAAATAAAACATTGCAATTATTGTAGATTTTAGATGATGTAATAAAAATGATTATCTTTAAAAAAGATATATTTTTCTTCAAATAAATGGTGAGATACAATATGTTTGATATTATGAATTTAGAAAAAAAAATCTATATTTAGTAATTTTATTACAAGTAAGAATAATTCTTAATAGTATTACAAATATTTTATTTGAAGGAAGTTACGAAGGTTTTAAGAGTGATCAAATTACAAGATGGTCTTCTTGCCTTGGAATGGAATATTATTGATGGTTAAGAGGACTTATTAACTACCTTTAAAAGAAACAAAGTTTAGAGTATGTAGCAATTATAATTTGCCACATCTTGGACTTCATCAATATGTAATCATTGCTCTTTTATGGAACTCATCCCTAAAAAGAGGTATAATATCATGAACATATATATATATATATATATATATATATATATATATATCTTTCAATAATTATTTAAATAATATAATTATATTGAATTATGTAAAAATAGATTAATTTGATAACATCTTATAGAATAGCTTCTTAAAAGCTTCATAGATGTGTTTTTGACTTTACACGTGTTTGTAGTTGATTCGTAAGTTAGAAATTTGGCCAACAAATTAGCCATATATTATACATGTTGGTAGCTTGTGATATAAGCTAAATATATAGTTCACACATATAAAACTTACCTTGCAAGTTAAGATATGCATCTTGCAAGTTAGACACGTGTCAAAGATCTTATATAATATAGTCATGTAATTCTTAATTAGATAGTATATATAGATGTAAAGAGTGAAGTCTTTTTTACTCTTGCCAATGCCTTTCTAGTCTTTAGTCTTGTTTCAAGACTTTCTATGCTTCTTGATTTTTGACAATAGCTATTTCAATTTTAATACTATATTAATTTTGAATGAATATCTATTCTTTTTAAGTGACAAAAGAATATATTAAAGTTTTTCCTTCTTTAAGATTCATATATTTAATACATTGCAAAAATAAAGAAGATAAAAAAATTTAAAAATCATTAATGATTTATATATATTTTTTAAATCTATTAAATAAACCACAAATAAACAAAGAAAAATTATTAAACCAACCAAAATAGAGTGCACTTCTATACACGTTTATTTTTTAGTAAAAGAATTCTCTTCCAAATATTCAATCATTATTTAATAATCACAAAAATATATATATATATATATATATATATATATATATATATATATATTATAAGTCTTTATCATCCACAAAATGCTTATATATTTTAAGGCATAGCAATATTGTGCTAAATTACAAATCTATAATATGTATGCATTCAACTACTTCCTTACAATTCTTAATCCTTGTTCTTCTTCCATATTTTTTTTCTAACGCTTTATGCACTATATATCACTACAACAAAAATAAGTTTTTATTATATTTATAATTAATTAATATGATTGTGATTATTTGGCATGAATAGATTGCACTTGGATCTAAAATTAATTAGATCTAAAACTAATCCCAATCTAATCTCCATTACAAAAACATGGATCCTTGCATCCAGAAAGCAAGACATTATTTTTTGCAATATGAGAGTGGTGAAATTTGCAATGATTTGCAAACCAAGTATATATATATATATATATATATATATATATATATATATAAATTTTATGCATATTATTTATAAATCATAAAAATACATTATGGATAATTATCTTAACATGGAGTTCATATGTGATATTATTAATTCATAAAACATCAATTATATTTAAGTATATTTTGTGTAATATATATTTGTATATTGTTATTGATTTCTTTTTGTAATGGTTTTAGAAAGATTAAATAATTATATTATAAGCATAAAATAATTTTAATCATAAGTTCTGCAATAATGTTAATTTACTGGATAGTCTTAGTTATTGATGAATATAATGACATTTAAATATGCATGTGGTATCAATCAAAATGGTCATCTCTCAAAATAATTATATAACTTAAATCAACTTAATATCAAATGTTTATAGTAAGTAGTGAACATCTCATAAATATCAAATGTAATTATATCAAACAAAAAAGATAATTACTCAATTTCTTAGTTTATATTTTTAAAAAATAATATCATTGAATTTTAAAATAAAATTATAATGATGATAGTGTATTTAATTATTCTTATGTCAACATTGCACATATTACTTAATGTATTTAAAATACATGTATATAAGAGTTCTAAAATTAGTTATATTATATACATAACTATATATATTTATAGTTATAATTATGATTTGATAAATTATAAAAGATTTTAAAAGTTATTTTGAGTAAATTTAATAGATACGAATTATATATAATAAATCATGTATGGTTTGTCAATTAAATATGTTTCAAAAATTTAGAATAATTCATGTTTAGAAATTTATTTAGTATAGCAAGATTAAAATGAATCAATAAAAATGTGGTTAAGAATAATTTAATAAATAAATAAATAAGTAAGTTTATAAGATTTATACCTATCTTTTATGTTTTATAGAGAATGATTTAAATTTTTTTTAAAAAAAATATTGTGTATGTATATATACAATCTTGCATATGTTGTTTAAATTTAATATAACACATACAGTGATTGTATTGAAAAATATGAACTAAGAATTTTTGTACTGTAGTATAACTTATAGCTTGAATTGATTTTATTTTTTATTTTTTTTTATATGTGTTAAAAACTTATTAGCTGTAGGTCTATTAGTTTATCAACACTGTTGGGATAAGCTCTGTAAGATATATATATATATATATATATATATAAATATAGATGATGAAAGGGACTGTGGAATTTGAAATTGAATCGCCAATTTTGTAACTTTGATGAAACTGTTTTGCCTTTGTTTGTTGTATTTTGTTTTATATCGTTTTAAAATCATTAATTGTTTAAATAAGTAATTTACATAAATCACTCAACAATAAGGGAATTATTAATAGCGTTTTTTGTTAAGAAAATTAGACGATTTGCAAAACATCGGTTAAATCCATATTCTCAGTGCTGCAATGTAAAACTGTAAGTGAAATTGAATAACGAATAATGCTGAAAACACGAGCTGAGGTGAGTTCCTTCACTATATGCAGTTCGATACGGTCATAGGGTCAACAGAGGACACGCGACCGCGCAAACCCAACCCATGACCACGTCCGCATCCTCTTGAAGACCCTAGCAGATGAATAATACGATTTGTACGGATGAATTGTGGGATTGGTGGATGAAGAAGCTGGAGTCGCAGATGCCTCGCGGGTGTCGTTCTCCATCCTCGCATCGCATCGCTGAGGTATTTGCCCAAATCCTGTGGTCATTCCTCGAGGGAATCCGTCCCCACGCCCTCGCCGTGTTACCGGGTGGCCCACTTCAAGGTTGGAGAAACGAGAGCATGTAGCTTCATCAGCCTCACAGGAAGAAATTGTTCTCGCACTTTGCAGCTGAATTGTCTCTGCGTGGTGAGTTCTTGCGAAGTTTTTGTTTTTTGTCCGTCGTTGACTGCTCCTCGCTGTGAATTTTGGAAAAAACTTGTTAGCTCGTACTCGTCCAGTGGGGTGGTCACTGTTTCTGGAAGGATCAGACCTCGCTGCGTTATAAATGTCCGATAAGGCTCTCATTGTTGCTGGACATTCTTTTTTGTGGTTACTTGTGGTGTCTGCCTGCTGCTACTCTCAGAGTGTGTGTTTGCCGAGTGAGGAGAAGGCGATTAGGATTTCGGGATTCACGACGAAGGCAACTACGTTTTGATTGCATTCTAATATACTGTTTAGGTTATCTGATTTTGGTTAGCGGAATTTTGCGTACGAGTTATTTATGCAATTGTGTTTCGAAGTTTGGTCGTTGTTGTTCCTTATTAATCGAGCAATTAGAATGTAGCCCGAGTTGCTTCTTTAAGAGTAGTAAATCATTGCTTGTTGTTGATTTCATCGTAGTTTGCGCTTCCTCAAGGCAGTTAATAAAAATGATACGTGTGTGACTGTTGTTACGTATAGTCGTTCACTTATTCTGGTCTTTGTGGTTTGAGTCTAAGGTGTGGTCCAATATGAACGTTCTTATTTTCGAGATTGCTTTGAAACAGAATACCTGTGTGCCACTCTTTTAAGCGAGCTATACTTTTTACAGCGATGGCCACATCGGTTGCTACTAACGCGACCTACTGTCAACTGGGCAATGCGACTGAAGTGTGCCGCTCGGTTTTTCCAAGGAAGAGTTCCGGGTCTGGGTGTAGCCATGTGTATTTTGGAAGAAACTTGAGGTACGATGTCTTTCAATAAACTAATTCGAATGGTTGTCTTTACAAGAAACGGCCATTGAAGTGCAACGGTTTTTAACTCTCATGTGTCGTATGTGGGAATAGTTATGTATTTGAGAAATGAAATCATCCATCAGTAATTCTACTTTTCTTCTTGTTACTCTAAAGAAACCATTTTTGTATCTCCTTTTCTCAAAATAGTTTCACTCCAATCTGCAGTAAAAGCTTGCACGCGAATTCGAGAGGTCGAGTGTGTTCGCTTGATGCAAAGAAGCAACGGGGAACATTTGAAGTTCGGTGTCAAGCCGCTAGCACCAGCACCGAAGTTGAGAATGATGTTGTCGGAGTGAAGCAGGCACCTGTTCTTCCGTTCCGAGTGGGTCATGGGTTTGACCTTCATCGTCTGGAGCCCGGACTACCCCTTATCATTGGAGGAGTAAACATTCCACACGACCGTGGTTGCGAGGCCCATTCTGATGGTATTGCCTCTTCATAACAACTTCCGCAAGCCCTTCTTTATGTTTGTCAATTTGTTTCGAGCAATGTCCAGAACTTGTCCTGCCTACTGGTTGCTGTTTCGTGTCATTTTCTAATATGCGAACTATAACTTATGCGTGGTTTTCCGGTATCGATGTAGGCGGTTTTTGATTATTTTAAATTTAAATTTATTGAAATTTTTATTTTATTACAGGGGATGTGCTACTGCACTGTGTTGTGGATGCTATCTTGGGTGCCTTGGGTCTTCCGGACATTGGGCAACTATTTCCAGACAATGATCCAAAGTGGCGGGGAGCTGTCTCGTCTGTCTTTGTCATTGAGGCTGTGAGTATCCTTTGTTTTTTGTCCTCGCCATGAGCATTCTGTTTAGTTCTTTCTCGCAGAGCATACTTATAGAATCCTTCAGTTGTCATGTCAGAAGAAGCTATAACTAAGTTCCGCACAGGGTATGAGGAGAATTCGTTCCCATAAAGTGGTTGTTACTCTGCAATTGCACTGGTTTGAAGAAGAACGTCTGTAAATCGTTTGTACTCCTTCCTCCCGAGAAGATTGTGTATCTGATTTTTCCGGTTTTCACGTTTGCTTATTTCCATGGGCTCTGCATGGTAACAGGTCAGGCGTATGAAGGCTGCAGGATACGTTATCGGTAACCTGGATGCCACTCTGATTTTGCAAAGACCTAAATTGAGCCCTCATAAAGAAGCTATCCGTGCGAATTTGTGCGAGCTATTAGAAGCGGATCCTTCTGTTATCAATTTGAAGGCAAAAACACATGAGAAGGTGGACAGTCTAGGTGAAAACCGGAGTGTTGCTGCACATACTGTTGTGCTTCTTATGCGTAAGTAGGCATTGCATAACTTTTATGTGCTCCACCATGGACACCGTGGAGGTCAATTCCCACTTTCTTTTTGATTTATTTTGGAGGGGCCGTGTAATGATTTACATCTCAGCATAAATGGCTGATTAATCATGCCCAATGTATTCGCATTGTACTAGAAACGTACTTTAGTTAGTTGAGGTCACTTCAGTAGCTGAGTATGTGGATGCTGCTATTCATGAAATAGAATATATTTTTTCTGATTATTCCTGACTTGGTGTGAAGCAAAGTCATGTTATTCAAATATTCCGCCAATAAAAGAATTTAATTTTCTGATTAGTAAATGGACTCGTGACACTTCTCTATGAGTACACATTCTGCTATATGTTGTCTTCGTTCATTTCAGCTAGAAGAAAACAAGCGTTTGGCTGTTGCGATGTTGTTGGTGCAGCTTTTTCAGGTACTTCTCCTACAGAGTTGCATTACCTCTACCTAAGTTAGATCCTCTTATTATCATTTTCTAACCACAAAATAGGTATTCTTAGGTTAGAAATATTCGATGAATATTTCTAGTATGTCACGAATTTGAATCTGAGCAGTGACGGATCTGGCTCGCAGGGTAAACGGCGTGAAGACGGTGGTCAAGTTATTGACGTACCTAGGGAGAACGTAGTATGTGAAGTTTGTCACGGTGCAAAAGACAAAGAAAAAGAACAAGAAATTGGACTCGAGATATCCTCCATTTCCCTTCCGTCTGATAAAATATTGTGCACAACCACTCACCCTAGTGGTTTACTTGATTTGCCTACCTTTGTAATTGCTTGTACATAATTTTAAGAGGCTGCGGTTGAATTTGTGCCTGATCAAGAATGCCCCAATTTTGCTGAAAACTTCAAGGACAAGAAAACATACCGGAAATTTTCTCAGTGTGGTGAAGATCGTTGGCCAATATCATGGAAATGATGAAAAATGGACGAGACTTGACAATGCGTAATTACATTCATATTTTTCATCTTTCATGCAGTATAATGATCGGTATAATTTTGCTGATTCTGCGTCTCCGTAGATAATGCCCTTGAATCAGGTACATGCACAATAATTGAGTTCTTAGCCCAGTCTGTTTTCCGTCAAGTTTGCTCCTCAGATCAGTAGTTTAGACGTTGAACTCGCTCGAATAATCTCCGCATGTTAATGCCTCAACTTGCTACATTCTAACGGCTGACTATTGGTGAGCAGAACAAGCGGGTCAGAATGCCACATGCGGGCGGTCTTAGCACATCTGAGCATGAGCAGTGGTGTAGACACATTGACTAGCGTCTCAATTTCACATGATCGAAGCAATCGTGGTATCTGCCCACATTCCATGTACACCAGTATCGATATGCAGGCAACTGCGGAAGATACAAATACTGCTCAACGGATTAGACAATGACGGTATCTGCCAATGAGTGGCATCGACCTCATGACGTACACATCACAATCCAACATTCTGAAATACTAGTGTGGCTCCATCCAATGTAACAAAGGAACCTTCGAGGTGCATTAGCAATGCCCTCTCCCGACCCTTAGGTCTTCGTTGATACAAGGTCCTCACCGCAAAGAGAATAGACATCCACGACAGTCCTCACATCGTGGTAATTTTACTGCCTAAGACTATACGTGGTGTCGTGTTTGCCTGGTGTAGGAGCTTGTCCTACGATTGTGAAGAAGGGGCAGTGCAACGTAGTTGTTCTAAGTTTCCCTTAGTCTGGATGTGCTATCTGGTAACAAGCTGGTGCTGTAATTGATTCCTCAAGCGCTACCAGACTAGTGAGGCACCGGCTGGCAATCACAAGAAGTTGATTCAATTCTTTTGCATAGACCATGGTCTAATTGAGACTATCAATTCATAAGAATATCTCCTGCTGGTCTGACATATGACGCAGCTCTGTAGCCAATTCTCAAGTCTGTTCCTTCACGTGTAAACTCCAACTGTGCGACATCTTTTGGAATTCTTCAACACTGCTCAATCAACGATGCCCTCTTTGAAAATGCGCATATTGAAGTTTTCTGCACTGGTACCCCAAAATCAGTCTTCATTTCAGGTACGCAATTCAGAGGAAGTTTTCATCATTCAATGCTGTAATCAAGCAGCTTATCGCTTCTTCCCTCCCTTGACACTCTGGTCCTACTGAAGTGGAGTCGCTTGCAAACCAGCTGATTGTTTCACCAAGACCTCCCAAAGCTATTTCACTGAGACTGTCAAAGCAGTCATTCGTCTTCCACATCATTTTCCATAACTGCAAGTGCTCATGAAATTATTTCTCAGCACCAGTAGAAAGCCGCTATTCCTATCTAGATCCCTTGGAGCTAAAGGATTGGTTTTCCTTTATTCCACTCGATGAGCAGAGGCACAGGTGGTGCCATAATCAGTATGAGTAAAGTCGAGAATAAGGGGCGACATATCAGACTTCAAGCTTGATCCTGTGTATTTGCTTCCGGAGCAGTTTCTCCGAGCTCACCCTAAATACGTGTGAAAAGAATGACATCGCCATCTACACCATTGTGCAAATGCAAGCATCCTGGGAGAGGATTAGGTCAAGAGCCCGGACCCCTCATCATGAGCATCATGAGACGACGAACCGACGACTTCAACATCCTTCGGGTAAATCTTAGGTGAGGCTGAGAATTTGAACCATCTCTTCTGCTTGGCGACTTCCAACCCTGGGTACACCACAAACCCCAGCATGGAGATGAAAACACCGAGAATGATCGTCTTCAAGGATGCCAACACTAGGATGGAAAGGAGGAAAATTGAGGGGGGCAGCAGCAAAAGACTCACTCCGGCAGTGTTGAGAGGGATGCAAAAAGGCCGGAGGAGATTAGGTTGCTGGACTCTGAGCCAGATGAAAGCCGCAAACTCCAATAACATACCAAAGCAGTAGAGGAAGTTGAGGAACTCGATGATCTCTTGGAAGGACATCCAGGAGAGGATAATCACACCTGTGGCGGAGCAGAGAATGCCCAACGAGGGTGTGCCATACTTGGATCTCTGCTCAAAGACTTGAGGCAACAACCCGTTCTCTCCCATCCCGAGCAACTGGAATGAATTGCTGCTCATTTCCGCCTCAAACAAGCCCATGTTTGAGAGCGCCGCTGCAATTGTAATCCAACATTTCAATGGTGCGCCTCCGATGACAAGCGCTACGTCTGCCAGGTATCCATCTTCCCATTTCGCTCGGTCAAGTTCCACAGCCCCGGTTCCAGCGAGAAGCGGCACAATGTAGGTGAAGGTTACCAAAACAACGGCCCATAACAGAGCTTTGGGTAATGTTTGCGAAGGCTTGTCGACTTCGCCCGCCAATGTGCTGACATTATCCCAATAATTCAGATTCCAGAACAGAATGTTGAGATAGACCCGCCAGTTCATGCTCCTCAAGTCCATCACGAACCATCTCTGCATTTGGATTTTTGGGATGGCAAGCAAGCTGAATACGAAAAACGGAAGTAAGGTGAAGATTGCTAATGCTACTGCTGTAATTCCTACAATTGTCAAGCCTCTGTAATTGAGATAAGTCAATCCTACGGTGGTCAGTAAAAGAGCGGCGACACGAGCAGGGCCTTTGGCAAACACGGGGAGCCCTCGTTTGAGATAATCTAAGAAGAGGACGGGGTAGAGCGCATTGTCCGTCACTCCGCTCATCCATTTGAGCCAACCTTCTTGGAATCCCCAAAATGGTCCAAAAGCCGCTGATATCCACACCACAAAGCCTCCATTCTTCGGAAACGCTGTGGCTAATTCGGCTGTCACCAAGGCTTCGGGGATGGACCACACAAACGGAACGATAATGAAACCAAGAAGAGCGAGAAGAGGTCCTCCTGCTCTCACAGAATCCTCCAGTCCGAAGGGACCACCGGACACTTCATAAAAGATTAGGGCAACCAGTGGCAGCATTGATAGCTTCGCAACTGAGCCTCGCCTGGGGGAGCTCTGTTCCGAGGCAGTCGGTGTGTCCTGCCCTTCTTCACCGGCATTGATGCCAAATTCTTCACGATTCAGCGGGTGCGGTGCGATAACAGGCATGACTTCCTTCATCGCATGCAGATTTTCGCGATCAGACTACGCTGTCACGCACCAAGGATTTTCCAAGCGCATGTCCGTCCCCTCCTCATGGTTAAGTGCAGCATGCTCTCCAAGTATCGTTCAACGCCGCTGGGTCGATTGCAATCGCCATTTCCTCAAGGACGACGTTGCAAACGCTCATGGTTGCTGGAGAGACGAATCCTCGCCATTTACGGTTCGGGAAACATGCGAAGAATGGTGAATCGTGGATGTGGGTGGGGCTTCTTCAAACATGGGCTCGCACTCCAAACAGAAGGAGGAGCCCATCATCGCGAGAAAAGCTAACTGAACAAGCTGTGGTGAAGCTTTTGACTTGGACCCCATTCACACTTGCAAGCCCCGATCCTGTTTATTCACATTCGAGACTGACGTGGAAGGCACGAATGTCTGGCCCACCTGAATGGAATGTGTCCTGGTGCCCACGTGGCTCATCCTTGGTTGCTTGTGAACTGCGTTTCTCTTGAACCTCTCATCCAAAAAACTTGCATTTCTTTTGACTGTCTTTCGTTTTTTTAATAATTAAATAAATGAAAACTCTTTCTGTTCAAACCCCAAAAGAAATGTTTTTGACCACAAGTCAATACAAAAAATTAGAATTGTTTCTAAACTTTAGAGAGTGTACAATGATATCTGGATTTTTTAATTTAAATTCAAAAGTTACTGTTTGATATAATCTCACTGAATGTGTTCAAAATAACTCTTTGCAATGTTATGGTTTTTGTTTAGTTTTCTGTTATTTTTTTCTCTTCAATGTTATTTTCCTGTTTATTTGGTGATGTTTGACCATGGCTTGTACATAAATTATATTTTCTATATACTATTCAAAATACAAACATTTCAAAATTGATGTATTCATGTATGTAGACTTTTTAAACTTGTGTACTTTTGCATCACACACAAGCATACTTTCAAATACCTTTCATTCATATTATAAGATAAATATAGAGTTTTATATATTTTTAACCAGCCGTTTGTCCTCGATGCACATTGCGGGAGTTCTGTGAAGGACCCGGTGTTGTCGATCAGCAGGCGCACCCCAGCTCAGAATAACACACGTCCATCGCATTTTCGTCACATATTGGAGGATTCGAAGTCACTCACTATGGTTTCTGGTGATATTGTTTAGGAGTTGCATGGCTCCGGAGTATGCCACTCTCGAGCAACTAACAGACTAGGCTGACGTTAACAGCTTTTGCGTTCTTTTAGTCGAGATTGTAATTGGGAGGAGAAACATCGATTTTGATGCACTGTCGGATACAGCATGCCTTATTAGAGTGGGAAATCACAATGCAGTGGGGAGGGAATTAATGTTTTCCAGGATGTAATGCATGTCATCTTGTTTGGTAGTTTGATTGTTTGATTGAACGAACTCAGTACAATGCACGTCGGCAATGGCGTTTTTTAAACTGTCAGGTGACTTGACAAATGAGTAGTCTCCAAATATAGGCTTGGAGTTTCTTTGAAGAAAGTTGCCTCTTCTATCTTTTTGATGCCAAGGTTTATCTACGCCAAGTGCATGCCCCTGGGTTGCACCTGGTTCTAAATATTGCATTGTTCTGCATCCAGCGAGTTCGAGAAAACGGCCATCCAGTTTCTCTGTGTTGGCGATGCTACTCAGTGAAGAGAAGATGGAAATAGTCATGAAGTATGTGCAACAATCGTCGCTTTCTGGAAAGCAGCAATCATCTAAATACACATCAACAACTTTGCTATAATCTAGATCTAGTAGTGACATAACTTTGCTACGTTTTCAACATACTAAAACAACGGAAAAAACACAATACAACAAAATCAGGTTTAAAGCCTTCATGCGGTCAAGTATGATTTTAATGTAGAATCTATTTAAAATCTAGTTGCGATTTTGTAATTAAGCAGCACTTAGCGTAATATAATGAATCGTGAATTTGTACAGAAGCCACATTTCTCGTCAGATCGTGGATAAAATCATGGTTCTGTCTGCTGCCAAAGACGAAGTTAATGAACGCATAAGATGAATGCCTTTACAAGATTAATCCTCTGAGTAGGCATTCATGCATGCACACGGCTGCAAGTGATAAGCTGAAATTCGGTGACATAATTCTGAAGCTTACGCATTGCACAGAGAAAATATAAAACAGCAACACATTGCAACTGGCAAAAAAAAAAAAAAAAAAAAAAAGACTCAAACTGAGAAAAATGGTAAAGTACATGATCGGCAATTGTCAAAAGGCCACTCCTGCCTACGGCAAACGCCTCTAAAGACCTGCTGCTGCTTGTCGATGAACCTTGGGACGTACTGCTAAACTGTACATTGATAGTATGATCCCCATCTTTGAGTCTGAACTACAGGAATCCGGAGCAGCCTGAGCATTACATTGACTGTTGTGATCCGACGCCGAATGTTCATGCTTCTACCTACCCTACCCAATTTTCCACAAGTTGATATCACCCAAGTTTGAATACCCAGATCTAGAGAGGATAAGCTTGTGGAGGAATACGAGATTCTTTGAACCTCGGTGAGACTGCTGCAGACCAAACACAGACCTTTCAGAGTAACAATCATCACCCGGATATAGACTGATTGATGGATCCACTGATTTCAATGGTCCTTGGGAAGGACACACTACCACCAATAAATTTCACGGCTAGCTCTTCAGATCATATGCTACAGGAGAAAGTTAATAACCATGATGGTTGGAGAATTTCTCGAAGTGGACAGAAAAAGAATCAGTGTGGTTCCAATTATGAAGAAATTGGTTCGTAAGGAAATAACAACCACGGATGCTTCAGGGCCTCACTGGCATTTGGTCGCAGAAGAGGGTTGATATTGAGAAGGTAGCCAACAAACTCCACAAAGCCTTGGTCACCCATGGGTAGACGATGGGCTAGAGACGTCTTCTTCGGCAGCAGGTACTCGAGTTGGTCAGAATCCTGTCAACAATCATGTGTAACGCAATAAGGGAACAAGTATCATACGTGTAGCTAAAACATAATCACACCATGTGATTAAGACCATACCATGTCAGTGAGATAACTCAAAACAAAACGAAAAAATAGAATGTTGAAAAATCACGAACGATTATGGGAAAAGAACTGGACTAATGTATACACCAGATTCACAAGAACAATCTGTGTGATAACTTACGAAGTGAACTTTGCACTCGTAATGGCATAGCACAAAGAATGTGCAGTGAAAACTAAGATTTATGTACTAGAAGTATATCCACAAGTACAAGAACCTTCTCAAACTCAGAATGAACACATTCAAAAAGATCGTACCTGATTCCGTTCATAAAGCGTGTGGTTCTTGGTGAAGAACTTGTGAGTGTCTCGTCCCTTGGATAAAAGCTCAGGTTCTATTGGACCTAGTATTCCGACCACACGAGCTAATAGCGTCGCCAGGGAATCATTTTGGAAAAGTACCTACATACATCAACGTATCAAACCTCATTAGGTAACCACGTTTTTTCTAAAGCACAATTGCTAAAACGACCAACACAATCGTGCAATCACTTTTACCAAAGCCCGACCTTCATTCGGATGTAGTTTGCACATCAACAAACAAATCTGTCTAGCTTTACCCACACTAAACGTTATCCACTTCCCGTCACCCACAAACAAACCGGCCTCTAAAGATATCCGCACCATACAGGGGCAAAGTTGCAAATATTTACAGGTAATCACATGTCATATAGACAATATAACTAGACCCATCACTCACATTTCCTGAACATAGTTCTGCAAGAATGCAACCAAGAGACCACATGTCGATCTTGTGATCATAAGGAAGACCAAGAATAACTTCAGGGGCTCGATACGAGCGAGATTGCACATAAGGGCACAGATGATCTGTCTGGAAACAACTGCTTCCCAAGTCGATCACTTTGATCTCACACCGACTGTAACTTTTCACCAGAATATTTTCCGGTTTCAAATCGCAGTGAATCAGCCCCAAACTATGAATGAACTCCAGTGCCTCCAAACACTGCCGGGCGATGGACTGCACAGATATACACAACAGAACAATGAGCAATGATTAACTCGACAACCGAGTGATGTTAAAGTAAAGCTCAGTAAATTTCCGTTCTGATTCACTCAACGTCCACCCCTAACCATAACTACCCTTCCAGACCAACCTCTATAATCGAATGCCCGCTGCAAGTCTCTAGATTTCTCTAGTTATGCAAAACATTCACATGCCACAAACTTGTGTACGCTATATATAGAAATCTAGTAAGGTTCACTTACAAATCGAATAACAACACTATGCTTATAGGAACAAAAGTAAAGGAACCAGATCGGCATCAAGGATGCGAAATACACCTGAAGACGGGGCATTGTAAAATAAACCTCGCCACCCGATTCTCTGTTGTACTTGTGGAATTCGTACAGGTTGGCTCGAAGTAACTCACAAACGATGAACAAATGCTCCTGCAATTATTACCACCAATATTTAATCTTCGTCCAAATGAAAGGAAAACAAAATTACATATGTAGTACAACTCAATTTGCATGGTCCATCAAAGAGTAACACAAACGACACTATTATTACCCGGTGGTAAAAATAATCGTACAGCCGCAAGAGGTGGTGCTTGTCACCAGGGTCGTGCTTGTTGATGTACTTGAGAAGCTTGATTTCATCAAGACTCTGATCGAAGAAGTCTTTATTATTCTTGATAATCTTCATACACACATCCATTCCTGTGAGCAGGTCGTGAGCCTGAATAGCTGTGCTGAATGCAGCAGAGCCTAGATACTCCGTCACATGATAGCGACCAGCAACAACTGCATTAATCACAACTGGAAAGTCTTTGTCTTCCTCAAACCCAGTCCTGCAAATTCAAGCACTCCGATCTTGTGAATAGTGACGACAATTAACCCAATTAATTGTCCAGCAGACGAGCATGGAAAGGTCCCCTCAAAACTTCGCCACAAGTCCTTAATATGTAGGTGAATGGATATGCGTTAAGTGAATACGAGTGAAGGTAGCAAGAATAAAGTTTCATGCGAGCAACGACCGTCATCTAGCAACTTGAAAAGGTTTCAACAACATCCATCAACTTGGCAGCAATACCTGTTCTTTCGATGGATGATCTTCAAATCGAATGTCTCGAACTCCTCTTCTTCTGCTCTTATTCTCCGAATTTGCTCTTGCACTGCTGCGGCTTCTTCGTCTTCGGCTGCTACAGCCTCAGTATCCCTAATTTTCTGGTGCACCTCCAACGTATCTTCTTCCTCTACGTCCTGCTCTACTTCGTCATCACCTTCTCCTGCATTCTCATCCTGCACAGGCACAGTGACAATAAGAGAAAAATTTGGGCCGAGAAAGTGACTAACTGATACGCAAGATGAGGTGCAGGTTGATACAAAGCATCTGGCTGACCCACCACCTAACACTAGTCTTCAGCAGTTCTACTTGATCTCGTAATTTCACCATAACCATGGGATAAACCTCAATTATGCCAAAGACAAATTATGTCACCTTGGCAACTGTACTGCCATACCCAGCCGTCGAGCTCGCAGATCCAGTGGACCGCACGGACAGATCTCGATGGCCATCATTACGGGGACTCAGCATGGGCGAGGATTCATTGCTCTTGCGCCTCCAAGAAGCTAAAGGATCATCCGGCTCCGACACGCCATTCCCATAATCTGCTTCTTCACCAAGCATCTGACCAGTGATGTCTCTAACAGACCACAATGACTTCCCTGAGTCTACTCTAGATACAGCTCCGATGTCTCCTCCACTTGTGGAGGGAGATGGAAATGAAAATCCACCGAACCCTGTGGTACCAGCTGTCTCGGACTCCTTGTGCCGACGACCCTCACCAACGTTACTAACCTTCTCCATAGTGGAATTCTCCTTTTCTGAGTTCGGTAGATGTAGGATATCCAAAGTCGAGACCTCCCGCTCGACTCCACGACGCTTGTGACTCGCCCACGGATTGTTGTAATATTTAAGGATCAAGTCTTCTTCCTCCTCTTCTTCGTCCTGCTTCCGATTACTCTCAGATTCATGTGCTTTTCCTCTGGCGCTATTCCTTAGTTGAGGTGATAACCTGGTTTGCCCCATGCTGCGATCACCGATCTCTCCTATATCTAAATCCCCTTCACCGCTTTCCCCTGGTACACTCTGACGCCTTTCACTGCCAAAATCTGCAACATCACTGCTCACGCCCACACCACCAAACCGCACTGAACCCATTCTGTCATCCTCCACTACAAAGACATGATTATTTAGAACAGCTCTTCCGTGGTCAGGTTTTTTGACACCCTCCTCTTCTGACTGAATTCCTTTGGAAGCATCAAAATTTCGCCACCTTGTATCACTATCCATCAAAGGAACATTAACCGCGCCCAATAGCTGTCTGTCGAACTGGTCTGGGTCAAGGATGCGCGTAGCGTCGGCAATCTGGATCCACAAACAGTTTGTTACGACAAAATAAACAAACAAAACATAAAGTATAAAATAAAATCAACAACAACGACAACACAAGCCTTGTTCTGAACAGGCCCTGCTCCTTATCACATCAAAATTACCAGAGCATGTTCCGTCAAAGAGGATCATTTAACTTAGCAACCAGATAAATAACAAGCATAAGCACGAGATTTGTCCTTAGTATAGAGCATTTCTATACAAGATTCTTCAGTCAAGGAGCCTCAGAGAGGATGCTGAAAAAATGTGCCAAGTAAAGCCGAAAAATTGTACTCCCGTCGACAAAGTTTTCGTTTACACTGAGGGATAAGTTGACAATATTCATAACCACTAAGGCTTGGGAATATGTTTCAGAATGGTCTAGTATCTAGGTAGTGACTTCTACACAAGTACAAAGTTACCCTGTCCTATAACTTCGCACTCTACAGCTGTTTAACCTCCAGAGGGTGGATGTGACTATACCTGGCGATTAATACCAACAGTATCTCCACCATCCATGCGCCCAAATACCTCACTTGTCTGAACCTCGTTAACTTCTACTAGAGTTTTTCCCTTTTCTCTCTCTGCCTTGTTGAGACAGGCAAGAGACTCCTCCCCAGAAAAGTAGGACTGCTAAACAGAGAGACGTTCATATTCTTAGTCAAGGCTGTCGAAATACTTTTCACGCCATATCCGTCCAAATAGGAACAAGAGAACGCCAAGTGAGTACTGACGAAATTCATTCCAACACACGTGACTGAGCCAGAAGGAAGGGACAAACAAATTTTTAAAAACCTCGGAATGGCACAATCGAGTCAATCCAACCCTTGCCCTCGAAAGACCACCTTAGTTACTACTAGGTGCACAACATCAGAAGGTTCCGTACAATTCGCAAAGCCCTTCGCTTGTCAAGCTTGGAACCACTCAGAAGGCCACTAGTTGTGTAAGAAGAATATCAACTCCGCACAGAAACTCAACGCATTAACTGAACACGAAGAGAACAGGAATACACTTGCCTCTTCTTCGAGGACAGAACAACCTTCTTCCTCGTCCTTCTCGTACTTCTCATAATCCTTCTCACGCCGAGAGCTACGTGCAGCTTCTTCGTTAGGGCGAGCTCGCTCATCATCACTTGGATAATCAATTTCATGTGCCAAGAACCACTCCTCGTCTTCTATTGGCTGCCTAAGGTACCCAGGATCGTCATCGTCCTCGTAAGTATCAGAGTCCCAACACTCGTCCGCATATTCCACTGCAGATTCACTCTGCACATCTCCTGCTGTTGCAAACCCAGACAGGAGCTCAGACTGGTCCTCTACAATGCCATGGCTCACTGAAGGCCGAGCAGACGCAGGTATGCGCCGAGACCCTACAATTACGTACACCAGTAGTGGAAAACCGTGCATTAAAAACCAGGAGAACCCTTCGACATTAGCCTGCACGTAACGCTTCTGAAAAAATGTATTTTTCACAATGCCTTCCATTTCAGGGCAGGCCAACAATAGTAGAGACTTTGTAATAAACATCAAAGAGCATATGAGCGTGATTGAAACACAGGTTGAAAAAGCAAGACTCTAACACAGAAACACTCGACACGTACCAGATGAGGAGACGTCCTGACCAACAGGAACGTCAAGATACGACCCTAGTCCAAAGGGAATAGCGTTCGCAGTCCCAGCAACATTACCAGGTGACGAAGATTCAACACTCTTCTTCATCCCACTAGCATACTCATCTTGGACTGCTTCAAGGCTCTTGGCATCAATTGAACGCAACCGAACAGGTGCAAGTTTAGGAAGACCCTCCTGAACTGATCTAGGAGCTACACAAGTTAATTTCCTTTCTACTATTGTGGAGCTCGGCCCTTCTACTGTTGACTGCTCTATTGTATAAGACGTTTTCAATTCATCTGAAGAAACAGCTGCATATTGCGAACCAGTGTCTTGTTTACCGAAAGCTTGAGGTACGAGCTCCTGCTTTGTGCCCGTTTGAAGCCGCTCAGGATATAAGTGTGGAGGGTTAATAGAAATAGTTTCCTTTCCCCCCTCCTCAAAACTCTTCTTCGAATCCGCTGCAAGCGACACACTTGTCTTGATGAGTGGGATAGTCTTGATAGGAACTTCTGCCCACTCTGGACTTTTAGGCACGGTGAAGTTCAAACTTCCAGCGCTAACATCTTCTGATTTCGAATCAGTAGGAAGTGTTGCATTAGCTTTAATCTCATTCCTAGGTGCCAGCTGCACCTCAATTGTAGCCTCTGGAAGAAAAGTCGCAGAATCTTGGACATCTGTGGATTGTCCATTACTCTCAGTCTGCAAACAACATGACTGTCAATACAATTGCTGCACTAACGAAAGAGCTACAATTAATTAACCATCGCTGCAAATCCTACTAGTCGCGGATCAAATTCGAGAGAGAGAGAGAGAGAGAGAGAGAGAGAAGCAAGCACTGAAGAGGGCTACCACCAAATCTCTCTCTAACGAGTAACGAGGACATAGGGTACAAATGGACCACACGCACTAGTGAAGACGGCTCTTCCAAACGAGGGAAAGGTCAGGATTAGTATTTCGTGAGCTCTGCTAACTTCGGCGGACACTCAAGAAACGACCCAGTTTCTAGTCCCATATCTCGCCTTACAAACCACAACCATGTGAACCTGTGGTGCAATGAAAGCCTTCAGGAACACAATATTTACCCATTTATCTGATTGACTTTCCACTTTCTTTGCCATTGCCACAACAGCTCGAAAGCTCTTCTCTCGTTCAAGAGCGGGCTTATCAGCAGCCTTGGGCTCCCACCTCTGGAAAGATATGATCTTTGTCAGCATCTTACTCCACATAAAGCCCAAGACTGATTAAATAACAGACACAGGGCATCGTTACACCAGAAGCTCTGCCTACTCCCGCCTGATCTCCATCAAGCATACTCCAAACGACACCTCCGATGCGGTAGTCACGGACAGATTGTCGCATTTCACAACACTGCGTCCAAGGACAACGAAGACGAAACGGGATGTGCGCATCTAAATCGAGAATCGGTTCACCGAGAAAAGGAAATAACCGAAGATACCTCATTGGAAAGACGCATTACTCACCCTCAATGCCGTTCGCTAACTCTTAATCTTACTTACAGACATGATTAATCCGTAGTGTTCAGCTATGCACTAAAAAAATTCACAAGACCAAAATCTCAACAACATCTCAACATCCCACCTGTTTCAGTGCATCTACTTTTCCTCGTGTTGCTTCGAAGTGCGCTTGTGGGGGGTCTGCTTCATGACCTGGTAATAACTCTTTCCTCTGACTCGTTGGAGTAAACACTCCCCCAATGCAAGAATCAGAAGCAACATTCCCTGGGCTTGCGTTACTTGCTTCCGCCTCCTTTAGATCAGGCGTCACCTTCTCGATGGAAGAAATGGCCCCCATTTCTGCCTCAGTCTGAAGGACACTCAAGCCTCCTATTCTACCCTGTGACGACAATGACAAGATAGCTGTTGTGAAAAGTTTGACCCACATCAGTATCCAATTGTCTAAAACTACAACCGTTAAGACTCTGAAAGCAGCTAAAATCAATTCCTTAAACAACAAAGGCTTGCAAGTCCTGGTCATCGCTGTGTTTCTTCAATCCAACTAATGTACAAAATATTTCGTCAGGGAAGTTGTACTCGGCCTTCAAAGGCCTGTTCCTCATAGAATACATGAAGAAACCATAATCTCCCATGTTTCTAGGGAATGAGAAAGATTCTACACTGGCACAGGACATAAAATAAAATAAAAATACTTCACTTACCGGAGACTTCCTTCTCTCAATCATCTTCTTCTGGGAGATGGGAGAGAGAGAAACTTGTGAAGGCGAGCTACCAACATCAAGTGTAGAGTGCAGCTTTGTAGATCGTTCAAAATCCTTCACCTCAAATTCCATAAACAGTGGTTCGGAAACCTCCGCCTTCATCGATGACCAAAGTGGTTCCACATGACCATGGGGCTCCTCCTTGGCTGCTAGCCTCAACGCTGCAGACGGTTTTACGTCTGTCACCAACTTGTCTTGCGCTGGTTTGTTAGGCACAGCTTTCAATTCCGCATGTTTCTGTGTAGTTTTCTCTTGCACCGATTTAAGGCACATGGCCACTTCTAGGTCCAGGTCATCGTTCAACGGTACAAGGTCTGGACCATTGGACTGCTGCCGGAGGCTGACCTCCTCCCTCAGGACTTCCTCTGCCCTTGTAAAGTGATGCTGGTGCAAGTATTTTAAAATAATACCGATGGTGTCCGCCATTGTTATTCCAATGGTATGAGGACCCAAATGGCTCACGAGCTACGCCCCGTCCGGTATACCCGAAACCTTAACTTGTCATCTGGTATGCCTTCCCTGTAAACACTTATTTATATCTCTGCATAAAATTTCACTGACGCAGACGAACCACCTGCTCCTTACTTGTCCATAATAACACCACACTCAAGATCACACCATTACGCTCGACTCCATTTGCTTCACTCAATGATGTCAGCTCCTGAAAAGCCAGGTTTTAGTTTGAGTCAAACCAAGGCAATATTCCTTCAAATCCGCAGTACACATGAAAAACATCATGTATTGCAAGGAAAAAAGTAAACAGATAAATAATCAATCCTGGGCATCCTCGGATTTCAAGACAAGGTGTCCGTCGAATATCCAGACTGATAGCCAGAAAGAGCTTCACTGCTCCGGAAACACAAAAACGTCCCTGGAGAGATACGAGCTAAAGAGCACAAGCACATTGCGTTTGAAGGAAAGAGATCTCCTCCTGCTTCCCTCTCCAATGATCAAACCCTAAACATATTTCTCGCAAGAACGACTACACTACAGACGCGAAATGAAGCCCAGATGCAAGTCTTCAGCATCACCTGTAGCCATGCCCTCGCTTCAAATCGGAAAAGTGACGCACTACACAATCTGCCCTCTGTATCACAACAAAGAAATTCAAACATAATCGACGTCTCTCAGTCAAAACAATCGCGAGACAAACGATTGCCTGCTTCCTAATAATCTCCGCCACCCGCCACCGACAGAACGGCATCCAACCCAATGAACATGTCACTCACTGAAGAGAGAAAAAAACTCAAATGTGAAAATAAAAAGCCGCAAAGAACCAGACGATATCGATAGCGCTCCATGAACATTGTATCCCGAACATCGACACTGCACAATGCGGCTTCGACCCACCACAAAACACCTTCATGTCTCGAACCTCAACGTTCCTAACAAAAATAAAACGCCATCACTCCTCGCCAAACAAACACCGAAGAAACCGAAATCGCTGACTTTGACCCCTAACAAAACTTGACGATCCTATCCAACAACCAGTCGCAAACTCGTCACACTCCACCGCCTAAAAATGAACCCAGAGGCCCAACGACAAAAGAGACGATCGAAACGCTGTTCGCGACTCATCCCGACATCTCCGACTCCGCAAACCACATAACCAACCACAAACACAGGGGAATATTCGTTAACTCCAAACAAGGCCACAAGGCTAAGGTTACCGGTACACGCATACCAGCTTGCAAGAGCAAATCGCCATGGCTACATTGCACCACCAAGGATGATGCGGCGCAACGAGGTCGCAATGCAATACAGTTTCAACAACGCCATGTTCGATGATGATGATGATCGTCAACATCCATGCACACGCGCTACCTATCCATAATATTCATTTCCCCTCTTTCTTCCTTCTGCCATCACACAGGAGACGAGGAATACCACCACCGACGACGGCCAAAAAAAAAAAAAAAAAAAAAAAAACAAAGCACAGGATTCGCACGACGAAGATGCAAACGAGACAATAAACTACAACCTTGAAGGACGATACACGAGAAGACCACGAGAATCCGAGGGAGTAATGCAGTGACGTGAAGTGAAACGAGACAAACACAAAGCTCCACAGCAGAACGAGACGACGAGCGGGGGAAGGGCCACGGGCGCGGGCCAACGGGCTCCCCTCGCTTTTCGCTGCCCGGCCCGGCCTGGCTCCTCTCTTCCCAAGTAAAAGGGCTCTCTCGCTCGAATCCTGGAATTGGCCACCACCCAGCGGACGATCCTCCCCTTCCATCGGCGACCAGTGGACGAGCCTTTCGACCAGCCAAGGCAGCCCTCTACTAAGTAGGCCCCAAAAGGGGGGTTTTCTATCCATCATATTGCTTCTTTCTCATTTCCACTCCTTTTTTGTCTCTTCTGCTTCAAGGTTTTTCTCTACGCCTTCTTTTCTTCCTCTGCTTTTGAAGGAAAAAAAAAAAGAAAAAAAAGAAAAAAAAAAGAGGGGGGGGTCTTTGTTTCTTCTGCGTTTATTGTATTGTCACATATTGTCACATCAATCAAGTATTTTTAAATAAATAAATAAATTTTCCAGCAATTTCTGGATTTTGCCATCGAGTTTAGGTACTCAGGTCTCACCATCAAAGGTACTACATGTTGGATAAAACTAATAAACATCAATTCTTTTTAATACAATGTTGTGTAGCCTTTTGGGTTGTGTAATGTTGTGAATACAAACGGGAGCAAATCTGCTCTTCACTTCACTCTTTGACTAGTTATTGTTACAATAATATTAATTTGTGAAGAAATAGACATATTACGATATTTATTGATTGTTTGACTATTTTTTTCTGAACGGGTGCACAAAGTGCAATAGACACTACTGGATGTGATGTGTGAAAAGCCTCACACGAATGGATTGTGCTGGTTCAACCTAAGATTGATATTTGTTCTTGTTGCTAAACTTCTCATTACAAGAATCTAAAAAATGAATTTATTTAGTTATAAGTACTAGGCATGCATGTCTTTCTACTTCCTATATTTGAATGAATGTAGCTATGTTACAATTATTCTCCACCCTTGCAACTTCCCCTCCCCGTCAAGGAAAAAACCCACCCGATCTCTCGCAGTTTGCTAATGCGCCCCACCCACCATCGGCGAGATTGATTCGCATGTAGCACTCTTTCTTACTTTCGTGGACGACTACGAGTGCTACAGCGACAACTCGATTAACCGCTCTCCCCCAAGCAGTTCAAAAACGGGTTCCGAATATGCTCTTGGATGTGATTTGGGGGAGCCCCAAATCGAGTGAAAGGCAGCACCAGCAGCACCACTGTGCTATCATCAAAGACACGGCAGCAGATTACGATCATCGGCTGCGTGGGAATTAGGCAGGGAATGAACGATTCTTCGTCTTCTTCTTCTGCCCTCTCCGGGTGGCGGTGTATGCTGGAAGGAATCTTCGGAGGTAGGCCTGCAATGGTCTTCTTTCGCCGCACATCCTGCTAAGGTGGTGGGGGCCGAGGGAAGGCTCCCTTTGCCGCTGCTGTTTGTCGTCGTATCCCCTCCTCTCCCTCTCCTCCGCCCCTTCTTCTTCGCCATATTCGGGTTGTCCCCCGCTCTTCTGCCTTCTCGTCTCCACACAACGCCAACCCTGCACAGGAAAGCTTGTCTGTTATAGTGAGGATGAGGGTGCCGCAAGTTTTTTCTTTTCTATATTAACGTCGGAATACCTTAAACCGTGTCAGGCCTTTGAACCAACTCGTAAATGTTGCCAGAAACCACGTTTGTACAAACCCCAAACCGCTTTGAAGAATGTAGAAAGATTCCGAGTGGATTCCAAGTCCACCGATGATTGGCAAGCTTTATAACAATGAAGGCAGTGGTTTTGTGTGATGGATGTGGTAGTTTAACCTGTTCTTACGGGTGGTTTTGTTCAACTCTACGACTCGGTTCAAGGGTAAATTGCAAAAACTGCTATGATAATTTTTTATCAATTCAAGCACTGTGTTGTTTCAATTTTTTCTTCTGGAGCACATCAGAACCTTATTTCTCCCACCCTCCCCCCCGAGATAGCTGAAAAACCATCAGTAGATTGATTAAAGTATTCTGACATTAATACTAGACAAATCGCTATAACCCTCGGCCCGTTTGGGAATGCGTGCATCCCTTGCAACACATGGTGAGTCTGTTTGTTCTGTGTCGATGACACATGAGCTTGCGGTGTCCAGCGCTTCGCTTCATTACGGTGTTGTTTTCTTCTTCTGCTTCTTCTTCGTGTCACATCACCCTATATTGCAGGATTTTAATAGCCGGTTTTAGGGTTTAGGCTAGATGTAAGATTGTGCATGAGACAGAACTGCTCTGTGATACCATGTATATTAAAATTAGAACTAATACAACTGTTTGCGTGTTTAGATATCCATAATGATACATATAATGTTTATTTCGAATGTACCCATATTTGATCTGATGTTGATTTTTCTGTTTGTATGGTGCGGTTTATATACATGTATATGTGTATCTTCACATTCAAAATATTGGGTAGATTTTTGTATTATAGTTTTAGAATGTAAGAGATTGTTTCATTTGGAGAAGTAAGGAAAACAATATTAGTCACTGAAGTTAAAAGGTAAAATAATGTGTTTACAATATTATTTGGTGACATATATAAAAGATACACTGTATTAAAGGTAGTGCATGGAGGAGACAATTTTCTTCATCACATTGGCAAAGTCAAAGCTTCATTAAAAAAATTAAAATTAAAAATGAACTTTTTGAGCCCCTAGGGGGGTGCATTGCAAGTCTTTAGGTGGCACTCTTTCGTGGTTTTAGAGTGGGTTTTAAGAGGCTTTGTACTCCCACATTTCTTAATAAGTAGGCCACAAAAATTATATATATATATATATATATATATATATATCACAATCATATCTTGTTAGAGTACAAATACTACAATACAACTTGATAATAAATGTTTTTATGAATCATGGTAAAGTTATAGTTTTACTTTAAGTGAGTTATGCAACAAGCCTTTTAATACTATTTTTAAAATTATTATAAGGCATTCCAAGATAGTATTTAACACAGTTTTACAAAATGTTGAAAAAAAGCCGAGGATTAAAACTATAAATTGTTGGGTTTAAAATAAAATACAAAACATATCCCACAAAACGTTTCTGGATCTTAGCATTATTAATTGAATAAAAAAAACGAATGTGAAAATGACACTTAAAAGAAATAAATTGCAAATTTTGATAGATTGTTAATCAACATGTATGTGACATGTTATGTTTTGCAATTTTAATTAAAATTCAAATACTAAATACTGAATTTCACCACCCAATTTATAACATAAGTCTAATGTTGAGTTCTCAAACCTTATCTTAAAGTCCCAGTTTCTCATAATGTAGTCAAGTTTTAACAACTCAAATTGGAACCACTTCAAAATTTAAATCAATTAACAAAAAAAAAATTCTTTTACTGAAGATAATTGCCAATTGTCTCAATTACATGGGTATCTGAAAGAGAATCATATTTAACACAAATCAGTGAATAATTCTTCTCACAAGTAGTAGGTATCAAAATCTAAGTTAGGTATTTTTTGTTTCCGTTGAATATCTTTGAGCAACACCATCAGTCAAAATTAGTCAGTATATTTTATACACTTGTTTTTGCTTGAAACACAGTACCATTATAGACTATGAATTTATAATACATCTATATATATATATATATATGACTTGTTCAAACTTGTCAGGTGCGTTTACTCAAGAATTTGTCATGTCTACAACAATTCAAGCATTCAATTCAATTAATGTAACTGTATAGCTTGAAAAGTACCAAAGGTTAAAAAAGATAATCACTCACCTCCTCATGCTTAAATAGATGTTTTACATCTTATCACTTTGCTTTGGACTAGCATGTTTTTTACCTGTGAAAACACTTCACAAAAAGGTGAATATGTCAAATTTTATTTTCACGATACTATCTATAATGTTTCCGTTTTTCAATTGTTTAAGAAACTAGACGAAATATCAGTTACTTGTTTAGAAGGCCATTAATTTTCTCCACCAGGAAATATATATATATGTATATATATATATTTATTTATTTATATAATAAGTGATTGAAATATAAAAAGTTCAAATTGAGGTTGGACCCTTAAACTTGAATCTTACCATGAATTGCTTTGGGTCTTGAATATCATAGCAGAGAACAAAAAAGTTATGTATCTATACTTTCAATTGTCATTTGTACTAAAAAAGCATTGTAAAAAAAAAAGTTCTTCACAACTTTGGTTTGAACATAAACATTTGTGCAATTATTCGAATTGTCATGTTCAAGACAAGTTGAATGCAAAATTCTTCAGCTCAGAAAAATGTAAAGTAATTGTATTCATCATTAGCCTTAATAAGCAAAATTAACACATTACGAAACAAGAAAAGAACAAGAAAAAGAAAAGGAAAAATATGAAGGTTTAATTCTCTTTTATTGGTTCAATATCTGAATTTATCCTTGTATATATAGTAACTCATATAATGTTTTTTGACGTTTTGTTCCAAGGATCAATGGCCCTGAAAAGAATTGCTCGTGTTGATATACATCAATAGTGACCTATATCTGTATATATGTAAATATAAACAAATATATATATATAATGGAGAAATGTATTAAACCCATACCTCAATTTTAAAGTATTTGTGTGATATCTCAAATAAACAAAAAGTCTACAGATGATGATATCTTTTATGCGTTAGTCTTATTGTTTTGGATACGATCAACAATTGTGTACAAAATTAGCTCTAGTTTTAGAAAAAGTTGAAAATTATATAGTTTTCCATGCATTGCAAATTAATTGTGTTTAGGATTGGTATGTGTCATTTAGCAGTGGCTATTATAATGCCAACATTAATACAATATCCAACTGGATGTTTTGCAGCCTGCACCACAAATATCTTTATTTTTGGAAAAGATTGTCATCTTAGTTGTGCCTTTATGTTGGTTTTTTATAATAATATTCGGCTTAGTGTTATTGATTCGAAGCTCAGAGATCCTCGAATTGAAACTGTTGAAATACTTCCTTAATTTCGATGGTCCTCGACTTCCTTTTTTTTCAACTAAAATTGGATTGTTGGTTTTTGCTTGTTATCTTGTAATCTTCCAAGGTCGCCACCAAACTAATCTTTCACGATTTTGTTTGTGACATTTTTAGCAACATGTTTACTACATTTTTTTTAATATGGAAATCAAACATTCGTACAATTTTTGCTTTAAAAATAAAAATTTCATCATTCTCTCGTTCCCATCCTTTGTGAAATTTTTCGAATGATCCATTACTGCGCAGAAAATCTAAACTATTATTGAATAATTAGCAACATATCTAACTGCCACTTGTGTTCAATTTTTATGCTTAAATGGCATGTTTGAGAGCATTCCAGGCAACAAGTGTACACAAGTTTCATGGAATGTTCTCAACCATGTCATTCATAAATTAACAAGTGTATACACAATTGTCGTTTATTTCTATTGAATGTTTGAATAATAGATGCACTAAAGTAAACTGAAACAAAAATTACGTGTTTGTAAACAATTTAAGTCTGTGTTGTCTGTAAATAAGACCATTTTGTTTCATTTATCACTAAATCACACAATTTTATAAACTACAGGAAATTGATTAATTATTTGAAAACACCCACTTTTCATATTTAAAGCTTTATCTGTCTGACAAAACACTATTAGAGGAGCTGTTACTCTTCTAAGGTCATGAATTAAAAATAGTACCGTCGTATTTTAGCATTAATAGTAAGCAAATTTACCTCAAAAACCATTAAATAGACCTTCTACAACTGAACAAAAGTATTCTCTTTGATCGTATGAGAGATTTTTTCATCTTTTCATGAGTGAGTAAAGTAACAAGTTTGAGTACTGGTTTCAGTAAGAATACACATCATGTTATTCATATTAGTATAAAATACTTTTGATGTCATGGCTTGTTTATCAAATGTTATTTACAACAAATGTTATGTCAAAAAGTATTCATCAGATTTGTAAAGTACTAGGATACTGTTTTTTTTTTGTATTATAAGTGAAATAAATTATATTATTCAGCCCAAGTATTGCTTATTAACATTGCAATATACATAGCATTTCATGTTTTTTGCATCCCTTTTATTACTTTTTTCAGATGTTGCATGGCTTGCTTTACCATTGTAGAAATTTATTTTTTCTAGGTTTAATCCTTCTTATTTTGGTTCAGTCCATTGACTGTAACCTAAGTTTTTCTACACCTTAAACTTTGGTGCTACATTATTGAACTTGGTTACAAAGTGGTGACATTTTTATTTTGTTTTTTTAATGTACTTCAAAAAATAAGAAACACTTCAGTCCAAATATATTCTATATAGAAACTTAGAATGTGTAAATACTTTATTAAATATGAAATATATTAATACTCAACTAGATTAAAATCATATTATGGGTAGACCAAGATAGTTTGCTAGAGGTATGTTTTAGTTTAAAATTACTTGATAATCTTCTTTCAAGTTGTCTTATAATTATTCTCAATTCGGTTTTCTTTTTATGTTCACTCTAAGCACCCTAAAAAATGCTCAATAATTTAAACTGTTTGGTTTTTTTTTTCAGATTTTATTTATTTATTTATTATTTTTTTCATATCTGTAAGTTACTTACGCATTTGCTTTTTTTATTTATTTTTTATTTTTTAGTGTGTATACTTTTTAAAATTATATGTAAACTGTTTCCTAAAGAAAGAATGCAATCATGAACCTTGAAGATTGTCTAGTTTTTTCATAAAGTTGGAATACAGCTTTATAGCATTTTTAACCGAATTCATGGTATAAAATACATAAAATAATTAAATAAATAATATTTCGGTTGTTCCGAATGAAACACACAAAATTAATCTTCTAATGAACAATAGAATGCGATTTTCGTTGCTTGTGGGGACAGGAACCCGCGCAATTCCAGAACGGGTGGAAGAACCCGACCCGCGCATTTTTAGATCCGGTTCTTCTACCCGTTCGGGAATTGCGCGGGTCCTATCTCGTCGCGACATAGTTCACGGCGCATTTGGCTCTTCTTAGCACAGCTATAGTGTGTGTGTGTGTGTGTGTGAGAGTGAATGATGTTATGCTCAGGAGAGCAGCGGATGTGGACCAATTTATTTCAGGAGTATGGTTAGATCGGAGACTTAGACGGTGCGGACAAGACGTGCATGCGGCGGCTCTGGAATTCTCGGATTATGTCAGTTTGCAATTGGAGGTTTGAATTCAGTTCGTTTTTTTTTTTTATTTTATTTTTTTTTATTTTAGTGTTGCTGTGAGGAGCGCATCAGCATTGGATTCGACGATTCGTGGAGTCGTAGGCCGCCGTTTTCATAAGAGGGTTTTGGTGTTGACGGGTTTTTATTTTATTTTTTTCTTCTTGATTGGATTGGAGGGAATTTGAGGGAGCTGAAGGGAATTGGAGCGACCTGGAGCGATGACGCGTGGTCGGCGTCTGGCGTCGCAGCTGGTTTGTTTTCTCGTTGATTTCTATTTGCAAACTGACATAAACTGTGAATTTCGTGTTTTTTCCCAGCTTCATGATGGTTTTCCTCAATTCGTTTGTGCTTCAATTAATTGACTTGAACGTGTATGCGTTTACTGTGGTGAAATTTTTCATGGAGTGGCGGATATTTTCAGCTCAATAGATATCCGTGTTTTTTTCATTTTGTATTTTTTAATTTTTCTACATTTTGTAACAAAATTTGAGGAAATCTATTTGTGTTTCTTTTCATTGATAAATTCTGGTGATGGTGCTGCCATGCTTACATTTTGACCTTTCATCATGTTTCAACAGAATTGCATGATGTATCAATGCTGTGAAAATTTGACTGATGAAATTCTTAGTCCTCCACCCTTTTTCATTTTCTTTCCTTCTGCAGACTGATCTTACCTGTTTTCTGTCTTCCGTTTTTCCGGTCCTGGAAGTGGCGATAATTAGAACTCTTATTTTCTTGTGAAATTCTCTGGCTTTTGACTTCCAAATCCATTTATTGGATGATCATATCTTGTGCTTCTTATTCGTCTTCTTCTTCGTATTTATTTTTAAATTTTAATTATAGAATATATTCAAATATGTAATGTATTTCAAAAACAATTCTTGACATTAACATTTTATCTGGTTTGAGGGAACAGGTTCAAGGAAGCTTTTCATTGTCAAATGGTGTTCGTTCATCTCACAGCAGGGGTTCCGGGTCCTATATTTCGACTGGTGAACTCCTGCGTAGTGAAGCTAGACACATGTGTGAACACGACGTTGGAATTAGGACCAGGCTGGTTGGACGTAGAGCATCGCATAGGAATGAAGGCAATTTTTTGAATCGGATTCCGAATTTAATGAGCTACTGTGATGATGGTGTAAGAGTGATGGATATTTCTAATAAGCATCGCTACTTAGACTATTCAAATCGTCAATGGTTTGAGTTTCAAAAACGTGCCATGAGTTCCTCGGAACAAGCAGTGAAGACTTCTGATAACCAGGAGGTGAAGACAGCCGATGTTTCTCAATCTAATGATTCTGTCGGCCTGAAGCAGCCACCATTGAGCCAACCACTTGAAGGGACTTTGATGCCTACATCAGAGGAAGAAGTAAGGAGCTATTCACTCTATTAATTTCAATGCTCTGACGTGTGTACTTATACGCACTCTTCAAAAACCTATTTCTTTTTCAAAAACATAAATCTATTTCTTCTATGTGAAGTCCATTGTGTAGCTGTTGTACCCACCTTTCTGAATGATCTGAATTTTTACGAATCCATCGTCTCTGTGATCGGTGAGATGGAGGTCAGTGACTTGAAGTTTATGTAGGCGCAATTGCCCTAGATTGGACATCATCACTGTGCTTTTGGTGGATGTTGTGTAGATGTTGTTGCTTTCTTGAATTGAGTCACCTGAAATAGAGAGAGTAACACTTTTCGATATCATGTGTATCGCTGTGCGGATGCAGTTTTGATTATGGCAAACTGAATTTTCATGTTCGCTGATGCTTTCTGCCAATTCAATTTAATTGACCATTTAATTGTGGTTATGGTTGAACATTTATGTAGGAGATGATTGCTCCTATTCTTTCAAGGCCGGACCTCCTGGTAACTCGCAATGTAGAGTGGGCCAATCTTGCGCTTGGGTTTGAGCAGGTAGGCAAATACGTGGCGAATTTACCGGTCATTTACATTACCAGTATATTACTTGATTTTATGTCTGCTTGGAAAGTTAGCTGTTTTGCTTTTAGCTCTGATATGCTGGAAATTCTAAATAGTGTTTGTGAATGAATGGTGCGGACGTATGAACTTGTTGACATACTTTGGTTTTTTGCAGCAAAATAAATATCTCATTGTGGATCCTCGGGAGCCTGAAGTAGTGAGTCGTCCTTCACTCCTAAATAGGATGAATCTTGCATATGCTTTCTGCATGATACTGACTGATTTGCTACCCCGTCCTTGCTTCGTGTTCTTGCATGAAGAGCAAATATTAAAATTTGGAGAAGATGTGATACGAGTGCATTAGATGGACAATTTTGAGCAAGTAATATACTGCAAAAGTTTGTTTCCTTTTGATGTTGCTCTGATTTCACGTATATGAACTTTGTGTTCTCAGCCCGTGGGATATATCGTTGAAAAGAGCAACGTGTTACTACGACAGGCAAGTGATGTTTCTTCATATTTTTATAAGCTTGTCCTTTTATCAACAAAAGCAGTCAAACAAGATTCTGTTTGATCTTAAATGTTACTCCTGAACACTGATAGTCGTTCAGGATCTTCCCCTGGTTATTGTATTCGTACCGTATCAAACTGCATGATGGTGTTTATAAAGTAAGTTTTTCTATCTGATGTGTTGAGCCACTGAGCAGAGATTTGCTTTTCACAGGTAATGAGGACCAGGCGACCTTTTGTTGTATCCTTGCTGAATGCCAACGGTGAAGAAGTCTGCCAGGTAGAAAATTTGCTCAAAAACATTTTCCCTGTTTTCTTATCATTCTACTGTCTTATTGACTGAACTACACTTTGGTTTTGGCCACCACAATTGAACGTGATCCGTACATGGTTGAAAGATTGATCTGCAATGTCTCTTTCATTGAATGTGTCGGGTGTATCTCAAGCTGAAGTTTATTTCTCTAATACTGTGCATGCTTTGCTTCTGTGTTTAGGTGCGAAGACCGGCGTTCCTCATAAATAGCTCCATATTTGTGGAGGTCAATGGCAAAGTAAGTGTATCATCATCGATGAAAATTAGAATTGCTACTGTCTCTGCGCTCCATGTTCAACAAGCCTTATTCGCTTATGTATAATTGCGTGCTTTTCAAATCTGTGTGTAGGTTATCGGTGAATGTCACAGAAGATGGCATCTTTGGAAGCGTATATATGATGTCTACATAGGGTATGAACTCTCTTAGGATTGCTTTTATATTGATTTTGTTTGTTATTTGAGCTGTCGATTAGACATGCTTGCTTACCAAGAAATCAATAGCAGCACATGGCAAATGGAGTGTGGTTTCTCTGTCTGATATGACTTCACATGTATCAAATCTTATGATTATCTGATCTCAAGACGCATTTCCAATGCCTAAGAATGTAGGTTTTTATGTTATTTTATTATTTTAGTTTTTTGCAGTGTTTGAGGTGGAGTTTAAGAAATGAAATTGTTAAAACATCTACAATGGTTTGTAACTGCAGCTTGGAATGAAGTTAATGTCTCTTTCGACTCTTTCGCAGAAACAAGCAGTTTGCGACAGTGGAGAATCCTGGTTTTTGGAATTGGAATTTCACTCTGATGGATGATAGAGGAGGAGTGCTTGCAGAAATTGACCGATCTTGGCGTGGTTTTGGCTATGAGGTCATGCATTTCTGTTTTGGCGATGTATTCTTAGTGATTTAAGGAAAGTTTTGATTGATTGAAGTTAGATAATAAAAATTGAAGGGCACTTGTTTTGGACATTCCTTGGTTTTGACTGTTGATGCATCTCTTTTCGAAAGCTGATGTTGTGTCGAATGTGTTTTTGCAGTTTCTGACTGATGCTGGACAATACGTGATTAGGTTTGGGGATGTCTTGCCCAAAGCAAGTATTCAGCATGCCACTCCAGTGTCGGTTGAGGCAGTAGACAGGAAGCCGTTTCTGCTAACCAAGAGTGAGAAAACAGGTGCTGCAGAAATGCAAGAGTTGCGACAAGCTGCTGATCAGGTTACTAATTTTTTTCCACTGAAATGGACTAATTATTATGACTCTCTGATGTGATCTTCATCTTTTTCTTGCTTGAATTTCCGGTAAATTTAGTCTTGCTACTGATTACTTCTTTTCCACCTTTTATCCTACTTTTAGTATTTCCAGAGTAGCCGTAACTTCATGGTGTATATTTTTAAGAAGGATTTTGCATGAAAATGGGTCGCTGTACGGCTGCGTTCATATTTTTTAAAACTTGTGGACATAGAAAAAAGTTCTCTGAGATTCGAACTAGACCTGTGACTTAAGTTATGCATTCTGGTTGTGTCGTTCTCTTGAAGTAGTTGCATTTGCAATGCGGGTAGTCTCTATAGCTTGAGGTGCTTTCTGTGCGAGTGTCAGGTTGATGCGTTAGAAGTGGTCAGACCTCTGAGTTTGACAGAGAGAGCAGTAGCTTTAGCATTGGCCGTTTCTCTCGACAACGACTATTTTTCAAGACACAGCCAGACTGGGTAAGCAGTTCTAATCTCTGCATATGTACTTTTTAAATTTTTCTTTCAAAGCTGTCTGATCCAAACTTATGAGCAAGCTGCCCACTTCTGTCTTTAAGTTTATTAAATTTTGGCCTTTGGGGTTGGCGAGGAGAGGAGAATATCCTGTCCTACATTGTATTTTCCTGTGTTTTTCTGTTATAAAGCGCCAGATTGGCATGTAATGCAACTAACCAACTAACGTTGTTTCCTCACGCCTTGACTTGCCAGTGTTGGAATGCCTATGCCAATTCCTTTCTACACCTCTGAATCAGCTGCCACTGAAGACTCCCACCCTGAATCATCAAATGCTGGTATGAGTTGCCCTTCTTTAGATTTGAACACCTACGATGTACTGGTCAATCCACCACGTGGATTCCCTGCACTCATGATGTTATTTTGGCTTATTCAGGAAGTGAGACAGGGCATGAAGTCTTTCCCAGTGAAGGTTATCAAGGTTCACATGATAGTAACACAGGACGAGAAGGAGGAACACCAGATGGCACTAAAGATGAGATGTTAGCGGACGATCCTTTCTTCGGCATGTTTGATGAGCCAGAGAGCGGGGGTCAGATCAACGATGACCAATTTTTTGACGATACACCTGATTCTGGTGATAGCTGGGGATCGAGCGACTGGGGAATAGGTGATTCCGAGAGCTAGGAGGCAACAGGAAGTGCACTTTATCAACGGTGAGGCGTACTAGCTTCCAATCTAGGATGGATTAGGCAGAGGTAAGATTCCAATTTTGAAGAACATGGGTTGTATTTAGAGACTTGTAGGATGAACGAGATTACGGTGTAGGAATATTCAGATACCCCAAACTCTGCAGCAGAATGACAGAGTATGTCTGAGAATTGGGTTTTGTTATGTCTGATTATTCCAGCAATCATTTTTGTAAGTTATGTCGTTGCGCTCTTTGCCTTCCATGAAGTATATGACACTCTTTGCAAGGTGCTTAGAAGTTAGTACCGACAACTCTGCAGGAATTTCCGGTCATCTGTCAGCGAGACGTATGGAATGACACTAACAACCAGTTTTCAATGCAGTTTGGTATCAACATTGGTATCAACTGGCTGTTTCACGCACAATATATCCAATGTCTGACAGAGCAACGCAAGATCTTGTGATTTTTTCCTATTTTTATTGGTTTTGATCTTGTTAAGCCCATACAAAAATATTCAATCTTAGACAAATGATTAAGGTGGTCTCTGTGTTTAGAAGTTCACTTGGAAAAATCATGGTGTAAAAGCCTCACAAAGGTCTCTTAGTTGGTGAAGATTTTTTTTTTTTTTTTTTTTTTTTTTTTTTTTGATTTTTGATTTTTGATTTTTTAGAGGAAATACAAAATGAGAAGTTATGAAAATGACCAAATCATTTTTTTTCTAAAATTATAAGTATGTATATTTATATCAACTCATATTCATATATACATATATCAACTTGTATTTTGATTCCAACAAGATAAACAAACATCAAAAATAAAGATCTCTCATGTTAATGGTTATCTATAATAAAACTTGTCACTTCTCAAGTTATTGTGAAAACCAATAGATGGGCCTATTGCAAATTTAGAGAACATCATTAATAATGCTGTGTAAGAAAAAAGTGCTTAGACTTATAGAAATGATTTTTTTCTATTCATATTTTGAATAAATATATATATATATATATATATATATATATATATATTTTCCAAAAAACTCATAACTCACACTTAACTCCGTGCACGTTAAAAATGTTAATCCGAAAAATCATTTTGCACAGTATGATATTATACATATTTAAGTAAGAGACATCAAATCACAACAATACACTCAAAAAGTATGCCATATTTAATGTAGGATCATTAAACATGGCATATGTTTTGAGTGTATGTATTCTTCATGTCAAAAGACAGCAAGGCTTGGATACACAAACCCATGATTGACAACAAACTTCAATTTGATGAATATATAATCATTCTTTGTTACTTTATCTCTTTATATTTGCAAAAAAGGCAACTTGTTTTTTGCATACTTAGACCTAATGCACTGAAATAGCCTTTTACCAATTTTCACAAAACCAAACAAATGATTTCCAGTAGACTACAAATTGGTTGGTTGCTGGGATGGTTTCACACTGTCTCATGCGTCTGGTTTTTCTACTCTGCCCTTTTGAAAAGTTTATTTATTTGTTTATGTAAAGTTTTATCTATTTATTTACATATTGTTCTTTCTGCCCACTCATGACTGGTGGATGAAACCTATCAAGATGAAGCTTTTGGTTCAATAAAGTAGATTGTTCACTAGCAATACTTGATGAACTTGAAGTATTGCTTAAGATCAAAAGCCAAATGCATCTGCTTTACTTGCATTTAGAAGTGGGTAAGTAAAACAAGGTAAAACAATAGAAGAAGGGAAAAGGAAAAATGAGAAAAAGGTGAGAAGTGTCTTAAATTAATATTAAATTATTGTGTTATTTGACAACCCAAAAACTTGTACAGTTTTGCAACACATGATTGAATCTTCCTTTGAGATTTTGTGACTAAATATCATCATTTATCATTTTTTTAATTCTGCTTATCAAAACTTTTGAGTTCCAATTTTACTAAAATGAAGTTCTAAATCAATGGCTGTTAGTCATTTTAGACATTGCCTTCAGCTAGTCGAACAAATTTATACATCAGATAATATTTTTTTTATTTTTATAATATTTTTTTATATGATTTTGTATTATCATCATTGTTATATACATATTACCTATTTCTTTTAACATTTCACTAGTTTGTTTGTATTGTATTTGGTCTTTAAAACCTACTTGGTTTTTAGTTTGTTGATACATGCATATAAATTGTTCATAGTTATAATTTTTTCTTATAAATATATATACAAATAAATAAATAAACACATACATACATACATACACACACATACACACACACACACACACATATATATATATATATAATAACTTAAACTACTTGTTTTAAATATAATTCAGACAATGGTTATAGAAAATTGCAAGATGGACACTTTTTACTGTGTAGACATTTAATTAAAAAAAAAAAAAAAAAAGAAGTAATATATGCTTATAGATTTATTATAGAAGTTTCAAGCCACAATAACATAATTGTTAACAAGACCTATAAAATACATGTATACATACATACATACATACATACATACATGGTTAAATTCTTATATATGTAGACCAAGACAATGTAATTAGCTTTTGTTTTAAGAGAATTTCTAGGGTATGTATGTATGTATTTTATGTCTTCTTAGCTATTCTATTTTTGTTGCTTGAAATTTCCATAATAAATTTGTAAGTTTTACATTTGTAAGTTTAAATACTTCTAAGTTCAAGCAAAAAGTTACAAGTAAGTTGTAAGTTTAAACATCGTAGCTATTTTATTTTTGTTGCTTAAACTTACAAATTACTTGTAAAGAAAGATGTTTATGCAATAAAAGAGATGTATTTACACAATAATAGGAGGATGTCTACCTACCAATTGTTTAGGTATATGTATTTGTATAAAGCTTATATGCCACATAAGCTAACATTGATGATAATTTTGAAATATTTAATTTAGTTCAGATTTTCTTTTTTCTTTTTCCATACAAATATATCAAAAAAAAAATTTTAAATGTAATAATTATTTTAAAGTTTTGATCATCTAAATTAGTAAATTTTACATGAAATTCTCTATCAACTTAATGGAAAATTCATAGTATATTGGTATAATTTAAATTACTCAAACCTTTTATAAAATTTTATTTTTGATTTTAGGAATAAAATATTAAAAAAATAAAGGTATATAAGATCTTTTATAGTCTTTTAGAAGTTTCCATAAAACATTCTTTAGACATCAAAGATATGTTTTTCTTAGAAACTCCTTTGAAGCCTTTCATAGGATCTACTTGACACAAGATAAATGAAGAAGCAACAAGAAGTATGTTAATACTATTTTGTTTCTAATCTTGTATCTAGTCTAATGTCTAATCTAATCTTATACTTTTTAATCTCTTGGTTTATTGTCTTGCATCTTTCATATATATATATATATATATATATATATTGGTTATTTGTTATTATTATTTATCATTATTAAAATTAGTATTTTATATTTAATTGAAAGTATTTTTAGATATTTTTTATTATGTATTTATTTTTAATCTATAAATTTTGTAAATTTAAGATTGTTAAAGTTTTACAACTCTGCAACTTGATTTTTTTATTCAACAAGAGGCTTCCTATGAAAAATTTAAAATTATATAAAAAATATTTTTATGATGAATATTTTTGTTTATTTTTATTGTATAAGATTGTTGTTGTTAAATTTAAGTTTTTAGTTAATGCTTAAATAAAATTAAAAGTACAATGTTTTCAATAATATGATTTCTTGATTTTAAATTTTTTGTGATGCTATGTTTTATTAGGTTACAATTTAAAATAGTTAAAATAAATATATGTATAAAACATCACTATTTATTTTTAATTTAGAAAAATTACAGAAAATAATAAAACACACTTTTTGTTTTACTTTTAAATTCGGAATAGTTGTTACTAGTATCCCTACATCTTCAAATACATTCCTACAATCTCAGAAACGTATTTTTCATTGCTACAAATATCTTAGGTTATTCATTCGGAATGCTGTTTTTAGATTGCTCTTGTAATTTTTGTGCAAAAAAATGTGGTGGCAACACTTGATGCACATAAGTTTACATTCTAAAATCAAACCCTACCTACATTTTCAATATCATCAAAAAAAGATTACACAATGTCAGTGCATTCTTTTACTGTTAAAAAAAACATTAATTTTAAACAATTCAAGCAAAACTTTGACTACATACATGTCACACATTCATTGTGCCATCTTAATTTCAATACTTAAATTGCCATTGATGAATAACTTCTTAATATATAGTAGATTCTAACTATATCTTGATGTCATGAGATATGGATCGTATTCACAAATATATATATATATATATATATATATCTATATATATGTTTTAATGCCCACATGACAAAATCAATTGAATCGTCATCGTCACCTGCCTCGTTTTTCGACAATAACTTACCGAAATGTCGCTTCGGCAACACAGTTGTTGCCATCGTCGTCGTCGTCGTTCTCGTCATCGTCGTCGGCAGGGTATGAAGTCTGATTGTGTGAGTGTATTAACGTACAAATCCGCAGACTCGGTCACACAGAGTGTCGTAGTGTGAGTGCGAGTGTGAATTATTTGTTCCTCGGGGGGTTTCTAAGCTTCCCCCTTCGCCGCGAGCATTGTTGCCTGGTATAGCAGCGACCAGAACAACATTTGCTGGGGTTGACCCAAAAGCTACACTACTACTCTCTGCCTTGTGATATAAGAAAAAGAAAAAAGATGAGTTTCTGTTGCTCCGACCCTCACTGATTTGCCGATGTGGTTCCGCATCTGAGAAGCCATCAGGTCCAGCATGTGAGTGCAGCAAAGCTGGCTTGAAACGACGGTAAAGAAAACTTACACCCACACACACACACATTAACAGGTTGTGATCCACGGGTCGGTATTCGAAAGCGCCTAGAACACGCTAAGTTTGTCGATTCATGTGAACGGCCTGACGGTCCCCACGTGAAATCGGCTCCTCATAGTCACCATTGTCGTCATGCTCCCCACCATGAACTCGTCGTACTCGCACAGTTCGTTCTCACCAAAAATGTGATCTCTACGAAAGCCTTGGTACCCTCCGATTGCGAGGATCGGGGTTTCGATACCGAAGTCAGGTGGGTGTCTTCGCCGTGTTGTGTGTTGGAAGTTTCTGTGCAGTTGCAACCACTGTTCCAAAGCTGTTTGCAAGTGTGACAGTAGATGATCGTAAAGAAAATTTCTATTGAAGATCGTCCCGTTTAACATCCTTGCTGAACTCTATACATACAGAAATTTTCACTTCATCGCATGCGGTTACTTCTAATTTTGTCATCAGCTTAACTCACGGTTCAACCTCTTCCATGCTGTCGAGTACTGCAATCCTCTTTTTCTAATTTGAGTCTACGTTGTAACTTAGAGTCGACCTTACTAAAGTAGGGTTGCTCTTTATTATATCCAACAGGTCGTTGATCGTGTTGGATTGGTCTTTGAGTGATGTTTATGAGCCTTGTTGACGGAGCTAATGGTATATTACCTGATTGATTGATTGGTTGGTTGGTAGGTGGGTTGTTATGGATTCAGCTGATCTGGACCAAGTTACAGTTTGATTTTCGATCGATCAGTTTTGATTGGGTATGTTTGAAGTTGATTGAGTAGTTTTGGTTTGAACAATGCAGCTGCTGGAAGTTCTTATCACAGAAAATTGCATTATTTTATTTCTTCTTTTCACTGCATTCCTTAGGAAGGAAAAGAGCAAATCACACAAGCCCTGCTGATAGGACGAAGTTGTCAAGAAAAACTTGATGTTAAATCCACAGTTAGCTAATTCGGTAATGAACTTGAGCTATCTCTGAATGCGCACGTGTGTATGTATGACCGTGTGTACTAGATGGAGAGAAATAGAGAGAGATGGAGAGAGAGAGAGATCACTTGATAAGAATCCAAACTCATGCAGCTACCCAGAGAATTCATTTCGAATAGCTTTTCTGTACTTTTTTCCCCCAAAATATTACGGAGTGGAGTATCTCACAGCGCCCTTCCCTTTGTTACAAAAACTCCGTGATTTGAAAGTCCGACAAATTCATCGCAAAAAAACTTAACTATCGAGGCGTGATTTTAACCATTTCCATCAATTAGTTTACCTTTCTTAGGAGACGCGTTGCTACCCTGGAGCCGAGTTGAATATCCGGATCTTCGGCGAACTTGTGAGAGAGCGCTGGGACGCTATCGAACAATACAAAGATCCCAGTTGTCATCTGCTGAGTACACTCGTGGACACTCCCAATTCTATCAATTCTCACTAGCTGCAGAGAACACCGATCATCTTTCGAAGAAGGGACAGTCCTCCAGTCGATTGAAAATGTGCGGCGTGTTGGAATCTGGTGGCCTCAACTCGTCATGTAGCTCAAAACCCAGAATGTCGTGAAGAGCTTTCGAGAAATCGACCCAGCAATGAGGAATTGAATTTCATTTCACCTGGAGGTCTTGATTGTTCATGAAAGGATAGATCAGTCATCTTCTGACCCAGTAAACTAGCGCCAGATTGTCCATTCAGATTAGTGTCGTGGGTTTGCTTGGATTGTCATCTATCGGAGACTCGTCGTCAACTGGTTTTAACTCATTTGTGTCCAGTGAGAGTTCTCTTTTCGTCCTTAAGCTCATTAGGTGTTCGATCGTTTGTCTCCGTTCGGGAAAGTGCAACCTGGGGTCGTACGTCAAGAAGGCCATTATGCTAAGCTCCAAGGAGATTCACGGAAAAACCTCTCTGTACTTCTTTTCAATCGTGCTCCTGATACCGAAGCAAGCCTACTCTCCTGCTCTGGGCCAAAATTGTCTGAAAACTGCAAATTACTAGGAAACGCATGCTTCTTCAAAAGCTTTAGATAATCCTTTATCACAGCCTTCGACGAAAGAAGTACAAATTGAGTACCAGAACTGTCAGGCGATACCGTATTACATGGTGGAAGAGGAGGCATCTCGCATCCGGAACCGACTACTTGGGACACTGAATCAATTCGAGAATGTCGCCGCCATTGTTGCTCTCACTGTGCCTCACGCTGCTTACTTGCCAATGCCATGGACAAGCGCCCCTTAACGGTATGATGCATATAAACTCCCAAATTCTGAATTGATTAGCTTCCTGTGCTTTTCCGCATTGTATAAATTTGGCACTCTCAACTAATTGACTTGCACCAAGTAAGCTGAGAGACCAGTTTGCATATTGTGAGCTGAATCACTTGACAACCAGTCAAGGTATTGTTTATTTTACAGAAAACGTCAAGGTATGAAGATTCCGATGACCTGACGAATTTTGCAATTGCCGTGTAGCTGTATCTGCAGACGGATACGCTCAACAGTCTCGCACTTTGGGCATCAACTACGGAACACTTGGCGACAACCTTCCCAGCCCAGCCGATGCAGTCGCAGCAATCAAGGCAATGAAAATTGGAAGAGTGAAATTATTCAGTCCAAATGCAGACATCCTCACAGCGCTGGCGAACACCGGTATGGAGGTTGTGGTGGCAGTGCCGAATGAGGAGATTGTCGCGGTCGGTGCAAGCCCCGCCGCAGCAACTGCTTGGGTTCGGCTGCACATCTCACCTTATCATCCTGAAGCAAACATCGTAGTCATCCTTGTTGGAAACGAAATTTTCACTGGCACAACCTTTCAATCGACATGGACGTCTCTCCTCCCAGCGACCCAAAACCTTCATGCTGCGATTGAGAGCTTCGGCTGGTCAGGGCAAATTAGGATTTCCACCGCCGTAGCACTGGATGTACTGGCCTCCTCGTTTCCGCCTTCCGCAGGAACATTCCGCTCGGACATTGCCACGTCTTTCGTTCGACCCCTGCTCTCATTCCTTACCAAAACAAACTCCTACTTGTTCGTGAACGTATATCCCTTTCTGACGTACTCCAGCAGCTCCGACATCAACCTCAGCTACGCCATGTTCGCCAGCACCACGGACAACGTTGTAGACGGCGGGCTCACGTACACCAATCTCATGGACGCGCAGCTCGACGCAGTGTACGCTGCTGCAACCAAGCTCGGATTCACAAGCTTGCGCATCGCAATTGGTGAGACGGGATGGCCTTCTGCTGGCGACTCAACTGAAGTTGCCGCCACAATCGACAACGCCGCAAATTACAATCGGCGTTTGGTGCGCAAAATTCTGTCCACAACACAAATCGGCACTCCGGCCAGGCCCGGAGTGTTCATCCCAACCTACATTTTCGCTCTTTTCAATGAAAATTTGAAGCCTGGAGTCAGTTCCGAGCGCAACTGGGGCCTTCTCCACCCTAATCTCTCTCCTGTATACGCAATAGACCTTACGGGCCAGATCTATGACAGTCAATACAGCCCTAACAGCAACAGCTCTCCACTTCAGACAGGGTCAGGCACATGGTGCATCAGCAATGAGAATTCGGATCCTGTCACTCTGGAGAATGGTTTAAACTTCGCATGCGGCGCAGATGTGGAATTTTGCAAGGCCATTCAACCGAGTGCGAGTTGCTATCTTCCCAGTACTATTGTCAGCCATGCTGCTTGGGCATTTAATAACTACTGGCAGAAATATAAGGGTGCTGGCGGAAGTTGCTCCTTTAGTGGAGCTGGCGTCTTGACCTCCACTGATCCAAGTAAGAGCCTATCAAGCACCTCAGAGTTCTTTTTGTCGTTTTCAAAGATGAATTTGGTTTGCAGATGTGGACGTCTTTAGAAGTAAACCCACAATCATATATCGTGGGTGCGCTCGGGAGTTCAATTCTCCTGACATTATGCTGCTCAGGTTATGGAGCTTGTGTGTTCCCGCACTAGTGAAGATCAGCTCTCAGAAATTGCATGGAGAAGTAAGAGCTGCAGGATGAACACCACCAACCCTTAGAATCATCAAATTTGAAGAAATCACAGATTGGGCACACACATTCTTTTACTACCTGAATGTGACGTCGCGGGTCCTTCGAAAACTTTCTCTCATGAATGGCTGTCGACTTTTTTTGTTACATATTGAACATTCATCGAAGTGGTTGATTAGGTGATAAGTATGCACATATTTGACTAAATACGACGGCAAACTAATTTGTAGGCCACGGTTCGTCTGTACTCAACCTCACACTGTTAGTCTTTGGTCTTTTTAACCGAGCAGTTCAGTTCTTCATATTCAGTACGAATTCTAGCAGATTGAGAACTGTTAGTGTAACGTGAGGAGCCTCAGGTTTTTGTACGTGGTCGCAGCGCTAGATTCTCCAAACATAATATTGTTCTGTGCATGTACATGTAAAGTTGCATTGATACACTCCTCAACAGTGAGCGAATACGCTATTCAAATAATTAACTGAGTAGGACATTTGTCCGGGGATGCCGAGACCTGCACATGCGATGCTTGTGTGATAGCTACGGAGGAGGTGAAGCGCATCCTTCCACCTGTGAGTAACTGCAATGCATATCATGACATCATTCGGAGACGGGTACTGCCCTTCCGTTTTTCACGAAACTGGACCACTCTCGGCGTTTCTAAGAACAACCGGACCAGGTAACGCCGGAAGCTCTGGGCCCAAAGTTGTCATGTTTCGCTGGTGACTTTCACGTCCAGTACAGAGTAACCCTAATCTCGATCAGTGGGCAAGTCGGTTTTGCACTCTTTGCGTGTTCGCCATCACTGGATCGACATGGGTAAAGAGCCCTATTCCAGAGGAGAGCCAGCCGAAGTGCATTCCATCCGATCCACATGTTCCAATTCGAGCAGAGACTCGGTCTGCCCCGGCACTGCGTCATGGCTTTTGCGACGGCCTGGTGAACTCTCATCACGGATGTGACCAAAAATCATTGTTTAGAACTGAATTGTGGATGCGTTGGAGTAAAATAAACTCCTCTGCTTCAATGTTTATACTTATCTACGGCCACTACACATCCCTTTGAGATTTATGGCATGGACAGTGGAAAACATATTTTGCAACCATACTAGATTATTACTGTCCTAACAACTTTGAAAATTCACAGACTGGGGGGTGGAGTGTACGCGGTCCTAGATTGTGTCCGTGGAAGTTACATTTGAACTTCCAAACTATAAAATGCGTGTTCTACAAGTTCCACGTCATCTGTATGAGACGCATCAACCTCACGAGGTTTTGAATGTCTATGGATTTGAAGATAATTTAACGATCGACAAGCTTACTAATTCCTATGCTTAATACCCAAAATGTAATCAGAAAGAAGCTATCAGTCTCATCCTTGGGTATGTAAGTAACGAGTTACATAGTAGACGAGTAGATCGTCACCACAGAGAACCACAAAGAAGACCCACCAGAAGCTCGTACACAGAAAAGATTCAGAACTTGACACTCTCAGCCCATAAAACTGTTATGAATCTTTTATCAGATTGAAACTTGCTCTATTATCCGCAATTGTGAAATACGTCTAGATCACATAAGCGAAAGATGTGTGGGTACTTGAATTCAAGTTTCACGCTTGAGCTATGGGACTGCTTACTAGCTGAAGTTTCTGAAATGATCTCTGCTGAAGTTTTCGCATTCCTATAAGGTACGGTATTAACTAGGAGTAGGATAAAAACAATGACATAAGTTGGATATGAGTACAACCTTGATAACTCGTTATTAACTAGCAGTGGGATAAAAACAATAACAATAATGAAAGGATATGAGTAGAACCGTAGTTTGAATGTAGCTCGAGAGCTGACTTGTAATAAGCACATCATTGGCGCTGGAGGGTTTGAATAAATCATTCAAATACATGAGCAGTCGTTACTTTACAAATTACTCGATTTGGCGAAATCCTTCAGGATACTTCAAAATACCGCTATTTCTGATAGACCTGTAGGAGTGTTGTAATGAATTGGGAGATAATCACTCCAGAAAGAATGCCTTGCAACTAAAACGCTGCTGAGGAATTCACTTTAAAGAGCTACTTTTCTGTGAGGTAGAAAATGATTGAATCCACAAGACTCTGCATCAAAGTCCTCGAATACAACGGGGAGGAGAATACAAAGGAGAACTGAAGAGCGGACTCTCGCATGAAGGGGAAGAGGGCCAAACAAGGCCCCACGCCGTGAGTGGACGAGCACGACAGGTAGTCTTTGACTCCCACTGCTGCAGCTTCTTCACCAAGGTCCTCAACCACGGGAGTAAACATTGTTGACAGAACCGACGTGCGGAGGCTTCCGCTGGGAGTCAGATTGGGAAACCGCATAGCCTGAACCATGAGTGCATTCAAATCTCCCATGTCTGTGAAATGCTTCCGGTTTTTTATTGCAGTGTCGAAGTCTTCTGAGCATCGGGTTGCAAGATCCCAGAAGGATTCAGGCTCCGTGGTGTGGATAGTTCTCATCAGAGCTGCATGGTAGAAACCTGGCACCCGGAGAAATTTCGATTGTAACAAATTATGTAATGACGATTTAGAAAGACCGGTTTTGAGGATAAGGAAATGAAATTTTAGGGTATGTCCTTCCTCTATCTTGAACTTCACCCAGAAAGTTTCCATTCAGCAGTAACTTGAAACTAACTAAATCCCACCAACTTGAAACTGAATCTGGAAGTGCATACCAACGGTAGAATCTGGGAGAACAGGATGCAGTCGATTACGACATTGTAACAGCACGGTTGTTCCGTAGTGCTCGCCTCTGGGTCCCACCCGCTTGTAAGCTGTAACAGTCTTGAGCGCTGCAGCGTTAATCGCGCCATGAATTGACACACTGCGCTTCTCGCATTCCTGCACACAAATTACAAATTGAGACACCATGGCATTGCATAATATTATCACGTTACTCGAATGCGAGCATCTGAAATAAACATGGCTTTATGCATTTTTCCAAACTAATCCATTTCTTGAATATGCCTGCAACAGTTTTCCTCTTCTGAAAGTTGTGGACATGACATGTGATACGTGATCAGCATGGAAGTGCATCTCTACGGAGAGTGGTGATATGGAAGAAATTTGAAAGAAAAACACCTTGAGTAGCAAATCAGTGGCTTCAGCAGTCAAACCCGCGCGAAGGAGCTTGGATTGTCGAAGGCCTTCAGGGTTATCAAAGGGCAGATAGGCATGTCGACGCGACACCAAACCATAGCCAACGACGTCCACACCGTGGGCCCAGAATGGCTTCTTCGCCTGCCCCGAAGGAATAGCATCTTCGATACAGGGCAGAAGCACCTCCTGCGGTTCTGAGAGCTTGAGTTTTTCAAGATTATCCTCCACGCCTTCTGCACTCTCTTTCTCGGTTCCCGATCTCTTGTACAGAGAGCTGACAACCTGCTTGATAATGATGGGAGTACTCGCCATGTCGGCGGCTGCGGCGTGAAGGCGAAGAACGAGAAGAGATTGAGATTCAGGAAGGAGGTAAAGCTTAGGTTCAAAAACCGGAACAGGACACTTCTGATATGGAATGTTTAGCTCGTCTTCTGTGATCCCATGCCACAGCTGCTGAGCCCTGTTGTCCTCATCGCCTTCTTCCTCACCCTGAGCACTCCAGACAATCTCTGAGAGGCTTACACTCACTGTCTCTGGCGTCTGGAAGAAAAATTCGTTGTGCGCTTGCTCAATCGTAGACCTAAGACGGGGATGCAATGCAAGCACGTCGCGAAGAGCTGCTTCGAGATCGGTCACAGGTATACGGCGTTCGAAGAGAATAGAGCTAATCGTAATCCCTGTCCCTTCATCAACAGCAGCTACCCAATTCGCCTCCGTCTTACCGAGCTTTCTCGCGGCTGTTTGCACTACCATGCCCGCCATCGCCAGCGTCTCCCAATGTTCCTTTCAAAATTCGAAAACTCTCCAAAACTCTCTTCTCAATCACAAGCCCTTCCCTGGAAATATACACACGAAATTGGCAGCAGTAGGAAAATCCCAGCTCCCACCCCAACGCTCAAAACTCAACACGCTTCACAAGATTCCCAGGAATCATTCACCAAACACCCACGAGACAATTCGATGACGCTACAATTCTCTCCACCCCAACACACCAAACGGGCATCAGCGAAGCTATAATCCAGTAACAGAAACAGACAATGCGGCAAAACAACAAATATCAAAGGAAAAAGTAAAAAATTCCTGCTCTTCTCGAACTCGCACAACCAATCACCTGCTCATCACCACCACCACTCCAACTCTAACCCTCCTCTGCTCTACTTTGGTCTGCTCTACACATTGTAGCCCAACCACGAGGAAAATACACGAACCCGTGACGCACAAATCCTCACCAAAGGTTCCCTGACAAGGTCCTGCCGTATGACCACGTCTCCAACCCAGACGTCAAATCAAAATTATGGGTATTATTCCACAAAGGTGCAATTCGCTACCCGGCGTGGATTTAGGAAGTTGGACGCCTCGTGTGATTGCATTTTGGCAGCGATCTCCATAGAGCTCGCACCTCCAGCTCGCGCTGGCGGGAGGGAGCACGGCTCTTCGTGTCCGCTGATGATACCCGCCCTTTCACGGCCCTAGCGCCAAAACCGCTTCCACCTCAGCACATTCGCTGCCTTGTCCCGCGAAAACAAGTGAGATCGTTTGGTCGGCTGAGGTGGCTGCCAAGCGGACTCCACGTGGTCTCCATCTTTGAGTTATCAGTGTAGTTGTGGGTTGGTGAGCAACTTCTCTCATGGGCTTTGAACGATGTGATACTCAACTATTGATGGCCAAGTAAATGAAGAGTGTGGGCATTTCATTCATTATTCTCCGGATGGGACTCATGAGAGTGCTTTGGAATAATATAAATAAATTAGAGATATATGTATATATATATATATATATATATATAAAGTGGTTTATGATTATGGATAGAATTTATTGCTTTTTATGATGTACCCTTGTGATTATCCATTATTCTTTACCTCATTATGAAAGAGGGCAACATTCATATACATATATATAGACATGTTTTAAGTATTATATATTCTTATTGGACTCCTCATGCTTGAAAGTGGTAAGTTTGATATTTATTCTTTTAAAAAAAGTTAAACATGAAGCTTTTAAAAAACAAAAATTATCTTTTTCTTGTTTGATTTATTATAAATATAGATGGCATTTTTAATAATGCACTCATTGATTTTAATGTCGTTTTTAAAAGTTATTACTTGTACATTATTATTTCTTTTTTATGCTTTCCTTGAATTAAAAATGATCTTGCTATGATAATTCTTTTAAAAATTAAATTCTATTTCAATAAACTATTATTCAGATATTTATTATTATTATTATTATTATTATTATTTTCTTCTACTATATAATTCTCTAATCTATTTGGTAACTTGGTTATTGATTAAGTGAAGAAAAAGAGGGAGGGTTGTAGGAAACCATATATTAACATGCTTATAAAAACAAATCTATTTGCAAAAAATATGTAAATCTGTATACAACTTACACCACAATAAATCATACGAAATTCTTGAAAAAAAATGCATGTGTCATTTGCTAGAAAATTTTCATATTTACTAATATTAGAAAGAAAATGATAAAACAGAAAAAAAAAAAAAAAAAAAAAAAAAAAAAAACTCAAAATCAAAATCAAAATCATCTGAACATAATTTTATATACAATTACTGATTAGTCTAATGTCAATTATAAAATTAGCTTTTTAACATAGATAAATAAGAGTGTTGGAAAATCATATATGTAAATCATATATGATTTACATAAAGGATTACGTATTCAAATCATAGATTATTATTTATTTTATTTTATTTTATTTACCTAATAATTTTAAAAAACAAATTGTCTTGAATTCAAAAAAAAAAAAAAAAAAAAAAAAAAAGAAACTGAACTAAACTAAACAAAATGGGATGATAACACAACTGCTCACAAATGATAGAGAAGATTTTATTTTAAAAAATGTAATAAATAAAAAGTATAATGTTACGTTTATAGAGATGTATTTTTAAAAAAAAAAGTATAATGATACATTTTTATCATAAAATGCATTTAAACATTCATGCCAAATTAGAAAATATTTAAAAATAATTTATCCTTCACAACCTTCTATATGTCTGGTAAGAATCATCAATTAGTTTTAAGACATTGACCATGATTAAATATATATGTATAATTGTTACTTATGATTAAATATATATGTATAAATGTTATTTATAATTCAATTGATGATATTAAATTATTTTTATCAAAAAATATATATTTAATTTTGATTTTTCATTAGTATTATATCTATAAAGAAACTACATATTTTATCATATCATGTCAATGATTTTTGGTGCACAAACTGCACTGTAATGTAATAACCATTTAATTTACTTCAAATCCATTATTTTTTTATATAATAAATACTTTATTTTAAAAAAACTTAGAATTTAGCCAGTATGAATTTTAAAGTGGCGACTTTTATTCCGTTTTATATATTTATTTTACATATTTATTTTTCATAACTGATATGTTTTTAATACAGTTTTGCTTTAGAAAATAGTGTAAAATTAAGTCAACTCAATCAATGTTTTATTTTATGCATCAATTTTATTTCTATATCAAAAATCAAATCCAATGGATAATTTTAATTTAAAATTCAAATAAAATGTAAATTCATAGAATAATTTATATGTCAATGTAATCGTTTTGAAATAAGTAATGTATATCAGGTTATTTATTTATTCATATAATTATTTGAATTCTCAAATAATTTTAATTTTTAATTACGTGTAATTTAAAATTTTAATTCTAATTTTGATTTTTTAATAGTAAGAATTTGGTTCTTAAAAGATGACTAGACTTTCAAGTTTTTGATTAATGCTATAAAAAGTAATTATCATGGTTTATTGATAAATTTTATTTAATTTTTTAGTCGAATATTTCTATTGTAGAAACTGAATTATCTTTTAATTTAGATTAAAAAAAACTTTACAGTCCATTGTAAAAAAAAATTAAATTTGTGAATAGTTTTTAGATTTTGTTCAAATTTTATATTTTATATTTTATATATGAAAAATAAAATATATAATATAATGTGAATTTTAATTTAAATTATTAGTATTTGGTAAAATTGATGGATCAATGTCAATAAATATTTTTGCATGTGTTTTTATATAAGCCTTAATAAATAACAATAAAAAACTACTAGATTGTAATCTTAACCTTGTATTACTATTTTATGATAATGTTTCCACAATTACATATAAAGAAAATGGATTTACTGTTCTAAAATTTATTATAACTAACTTTTTAAGATCTAGGAAATTATTTTGACAAGAAACTTACATTCTAAATTTCTTTGTTATGTTGTTACAGCCAAAAACATATTTATGTTTTTAACTTTTTACAATTTATAATCTTTAGATTAAAGATATTCACATCTTTTAAGAATCTGTCATGGACAAACATGCAGTAGATGATATTAGTATTGCAATCCACAATCAGGTCCTATTGCAGGAGCTTGCTTTTGTAGTAGCACATCATGTTGTTAAGATCTTGTATACTCTGAAAAAATGGATAACGTAGAGAAATGATATACACTCTAAAGCAGAGCTAAGAGAGGTTATTAGTATGTATTCTGAGTATGTTTAGTTTTATTTTAATCCCTAAGAATATATTATCTTACTTTCCGAAATACTGATATCAAATTCTAACAAATGATAGAAAGCGCCGAGCAAATCTTGCCTTGATTAGGGGCATTGGAATTAGCACATTGAAAAGTGAGGACCAATGTTTAGTCTTCCTTAGTATGTTTGTACCTACAGTGCATGGGAATCCAGTGCTGGTCTAATCTGCTTAGAGAAGTCACAAATTCATGCCAGCCATGGCAACCATTTAATCTACAGCATAAGTTTGCACGTGCCTTTGATTACAGGTGGGTGTAAATAGAGTCTCCATTGATAACGTTGACATGAGCTCCTCTGCAGTTCCTCCAGAGTCAAACAGCACCTGCTTCAAACATAATAAGGATGATTGTGTGGATATTCCTTATATGAAACCGTCTCAAGCAAGGAGAAGCGTTATTATTGAGCAACTTTCATGAGGTGACTCAGAATTCATAGATAATAGAGCCACTCTCCAATATACGAGGCTTCAGCCATTTTAAGAGGTGTCATATTAGGCTGCATACCATCGCTAGCTTTTGCCAGGATGAGGATTATCAAAAAAAGTTGCTCACTCACCACATTTTCCGTTAAGTGAATTGAATGACCTTGGGTGGCTTGCACACAAGACAAGGTATTTAGGGGTATTCCCTCCCAAGTCGCTCTTTTAGATACATCATATATCACATGGTCTTGAGGAACTATGTCAAAAATAAGCAGGAATTGTCTCTGTTTATCCGTCTACCAAATACTAATGTGATTATTGCCACTCGAAATTACGAAATGATTCCAAATACAGAAATACATGACCCACAAACCTCTGAAACTGACCTAACAAGAAATCGGAACCCTCCATGCATCTCAAGAACCCAGACCTAGACCTCAAATCAGAAGTATGCTGATGTTTTAAAACTTTATTGAGAGCAAGATCGTTCTTCAGAATACAAAAACATGTTTAGTAAATGCTCAAACCAATTATACTTCTTTGACATTCTTGTCGAAAAATGAGGAAAGAGGTAGTGGCCCACCATCCTCACCTTCGCTATTGCTTCTACTATCTAAAGTACTCTCAGATCGTCTTCTTCGTGACTTGTGCCTCTCCTTCCTGTCCTTCCTATCTTTTCTGCTTTTCCGTCGATCTCTGTCTTTCCGCCGATCGTCCTCACTGCTAGAACTATCTGTTTCAGACTCAGAGTCGCTTCTACCACGACGTCTCTTTGAAGAAGACCTCTGACAATACAGAAGGTAACACGTTGATGAAAACAAGTATTGACTCTAAATTTTAAAGCTTGTGAGTGTTGTCGGAATAAAAATCGATGCTCGTCTTCTTCATAAAAGCTAGCAAACATACCTTTCTTTTCTTGGCAACTTTAAGCTTGTCTCTGTCTTTATCCTTCTTGCCTGGAACATGCAGAGTAATTTACGAATTCAAAATTTGTATTTGGAGCTTCAAGCAATGCACGTAGAATCTACCAGCTGATGTCTTGTAAATGGGGACCACACTTCGTTGTATTGCCTGGTAATACGCAGCAGCGATACAAACAGATTTTACACAAACCAAGCTCAATCATAACCATAAGTAAAATCTCTAAAACCACCGAAACTTTTGAAGGGGTGAATTCCATTAACTTACTCTTTTTTAAACCTTTATCTCGCAAGGTAGCATGATTTGATCCTCTTGCCAGCTTCTTCGCTCGCTCAGCATCCAATTGTGCTCGATATTCTCTCATTAATTTAGCCTCGTCATCTTCAAGTTCTTCTTGTCTCCTAGCTTCCTCCTACAACATCGAAATCCCAGTTTTCAGCACCTCCTTCCACTGCCAGCTTGCTTTTAAAGGCGGTGAAATGAATCTACAATAACTAGGATTCGCTGCCCAACAGATAATAAACATCATATTTCTCCAATCTACATCAACTCTCTGGATAGGAACTAAATGATAACGAGAAGTACCTTCTGTTTCTGCTTCCACTCTTCCCAGGTAACCGTGTGTGAAGTTTGAAGAGATGCCAAACGTGCAGCATGCCACTCTGGTGAATGGAAAGATCCGTCCATCTGCGTCTCCCTTTGTCAGTAGCTCTCCAGAAAATACCATAGCTGATACCTTTCTCATTTCTTTTAAACCTCGGACTCTCAAAAATAGAACCAAATCTTGTGACAGGTCAACTCTGTAACTGCCGCTATGGTAAAATTTCATAGACCACGGAAATACATTTCAAAAGCTGGAGAGAACAAAAGCCTATAAGCATTGAAAAGTTAAGAGTACCGAAGACAAATGACTACCTGCTCTAAAAAGAATAACAATCAAGGATTAAAAAAAAAAAACACACACACACACACACACAGCAATATGATTCAGCCAAGTTGGCGATCCAAAGACAAAATATGTCTGCTCATACTAACTCCCTCTATTTTTCATGACGACGTGCACCTGCCAAGACTATTTGCAGCAGAGCGTTGGCATGCTAGTCGCTCAATAGGTAACAGATAAATTCTCCGATTGAAAAAGGAGGTGCCCGTACCATCAGCATTGAAAATGGCCACGACGCTCGATTGGAGTATTAATCCAAGTTATCATGTTCACTTTGGAGGTATGAATTGACACATAAACAGCAGACTTTGAGAGCACTAATTGCACAGAATTGAACACAACTAAACGTGATCCTATGAGTACACTGTCCAAGCCACCCTAAACAACATTTCGCCGGGCCCAGTAATATGTCATTAGACGGTAGTTGAGCCTTTTCGGAGTGACAAAATTCTCACATATCCAAAACAACGACTTCTTTCATTTGAGAGAAGAATCTCTTAAAATTGTAGGACACCAATCCGGTGTTCTGGTAACCAATGATGTAGACTACGTACATTTGCTTGCATGTAGAATTTTGATTCCTTTCTCAAGACTCTAAAATCCAAGAAGTTGGCAACCCATGATAACCGTTTTCTACTAAGTGGCAATTTTCCATGAGGTTTCTGAAAACTCCCTTTTACGAAAGTCCATCATACGGAAGTCGAAATTCTGCTCCATCACTAGCTGAAGGATACAAAAGGCTACCGAATGAGCAGTCTGATACCTCTACATTGAACATAAATACGTGTTTCTCGCCCATGGAGTACGCTCCTAACAGTAGATTCCACATGCATAGTTTCCAACCCGACTGCCTATCATGGAACGGTGCCACAGTTCATAACCCGACCCAGAAATCACCCACTGCTAGAACAATAATCAGAGTCGAGGGTGGAAGAATACACACCATGCCATCATCAATCTCCTCGCCCGGACCGCCGGCAGCAGTACTTGTCCCCATTTTGGCCCGCTGCATTGCCTTGTACGCCTGATTCTTCCCCATGGCTGCTAAATGCCTCTCCCTCCCTTACCCTAATTAACACCCACTCTTCTCGTCGCCGAATCTGCTTCTTTCTTCCTCTCCCCTCGACATAGACTCTCAACTAACTCTCTTACACAATCTCTACACCCAATCCATTCCCACAACCTAAAACCCTAAATTACGATCCCCGCTGCAAAAATTCTATCCTCCCAACAGTCCATCGTGCGCAACGAACTCCCGACAAAAAAACCCCTCTGGAAAAAACAACTACAAACACAAGAAGAAGAAAAAAAAACGAAAATAAATCACCCGCTGTCCAACTCCATCCCCAGTCCTCAGACAGAATTATCGCAGTATTCGAAAGGAAACGTGGAAATTCAAAACGACCGAATCAATAGTCCGATTCTCACGTAAAGAACGGCATTAGAATACAACCAAGTAAAACTGGGAAAGAGGAAGGGAAGTGAGGAAAAAAACAGAGGAAAACAGAAGAAGTAGAAGAAGGGCAGTGGAGACGCAACAATTGGATTGACAGGAAGACTAAAAAAGAAGAATGAGTGGGAGAAGGAGGAGAAAGAGGAGGAAGAGGAGGAAGAGTCAGGACGGCAGGGGGGAGGAGGCTGGCTATGGCGGGAGGGAGGTATGAGGAGGAGGAGCAGGATGAGACGAAGAAGACGACGAAGCCGTGGAGTTGCACACGAGAAGAAGAATAAGCAGCAGCAGCAGAACCAGAATCAGAAGAAGAGACGGAGCTGCATGAAGGAGGAGGAGGACGAGCTCCATGGCCAATATAGATGAATGAGCTAATGGATGAAATTATGGATGAACTTGAAGATGAATTAATGGATGGATGAGTGGATGGATGGGTGTATCACTACCCCCCCTTGATGACCATGATGATGATGACATTCGCACTCCCCGTTCTCACGTTCCCTTACCTTGCACCCCCCCCCCCCCGTTTAAATTTTAATTTAATTCTAACAAATGCATAGTTAGAGACGTATATAAAAACAAGTGTGGGTTTGCTATTGCAATTCTATTGGAATCATTTTAAAATCGTTTGATGCAATCAAGAGCTTTGGTAGTGGTTAATTACGTGGTGTCAACAACTCCAATAAGCATAGTATAGACCTTGAATTAGATAAATACTGATTAAGAATGTGAAACATGAATGGAAATTCATTTTTAATCCTTAAGCAAGCTAGCTAGTTATAATGAAATTATAAAATTTTAGAGTATATACATACATACATACATACATACATACATACATACATGTTAAATAAAGAAAGAAATAATTTGATGGTTATTATGAACACGTATATTATGTGTAGAAGTAATAATAAACAATTACAATCTACTATCATTCAAGATCTGTGCTTCAAAGTAATGCATTGAAGCAAATTATTCTTCTGTAAGAATATATATTACAATAATTAATCAACTTTTAAAAAATTCAAAATAGGATCACACAAATACCTTTTATAAATAAAGAAATTAAAACTAAATAAATATAAAGCATGCAAAGTAATATAAATTACATTGATAGCATACAGAAACAGGTGAATGCTATCTATGCATATAAAATTCATGTTCATAAACCTTGATGTTTTAGTGTTTTGGTTTTATTTTTAAAATAAGTAAATTTTAATATTTTTGAATGTGATAATAATAAAAAGGAATTATAAAATTAAAAACTAATTTTTAAATGTCACCAGTAATTAGCAAAAATATTATATTTATAAAAAAAAAAAAAAAAAAAAACAACAACAACAACAACAACTATAAAGTTGAGATACTATTAATCTAACTTTTAAAGTAAACAAACACATATAAAATTTACTTTCAAAAAAATAAGACACTTTCACAAGAACTTCAAAATAATTGATTTAAAAAATAAAATAAAATAAAATAAATTTGAATACTAGTAAATAAATAATTAAAAAATATACTTAGTTTTTTATAATTATAATAATTATATCCTAATTATTAAAATATTGAATTGAATTTTAAAATTAATAATATAAAATTAATTAATGTTGAAAAATAATAATATTTTTTAATAGTTTATGAATTAAAAAGCAGTTCACATTTAGATTTATAATATTCTAGTAAATAACGTAAAGTAAAACTAGTAAAAAAAGTATTATGTAGATATTATTTTTCTCAAAAATTAGAGTAGAAGCTCCTTAAACATAGGTTATATCTATGAGTATTGATAGAGTTTTTATATGGATGTAGCAACTTCTTTAAAATTATTTTTAGACCCTAAGTGTCAATACACAAGTATTTTACAACTTACACATTTATTCCACAAATCTTGTGGACTTTATGAGGTTATAAAATATAAATTTTATTATCTAATATATTTAGAAGCAATAGTAAGATTAATCTGAATCTTATCAGTGTTTTTTATTTTAAATTTCATTTTAATTTTTATTCCTATCTTACTTCAAAATTCTATAATTTATTTTTAGATTTTTAAAAATATTAGTAATAAAATATTTATCTTAATTTCTTATTTTTAATTAATGATTTTATGAAAATATTGCCTTAACATTTAGTTCTCAAGTCTAGCAATTCTATAGATTTCAAAAATTACAAACTAAAGATTCGTAATTTCTAATTTTTGAAGAATATAGTTTAAAAAAATTTAGAATTTCTTTTATTAAGATATTTTATGAAGTGAAAATAAAAATAATAAAATATAGAAGTTAATAAAATGAAGATAAGTAATCAAAGAAGAATATGTTTTTGTTGAATTATATATATATTACTTTTGAATAACTTTAAAAAATATATAGTTTGGTTTAGGTAATCTACCATTACAAATTAGATATTTAAAAACCATAATTTGGTAGATTTGTCATTGAATGCATTGAAAGAGATGACCATGATTGTTTTTAAAGTTGGCAATAGTTTAAAAACATTACGTGGTCTATATTAAAGAAGCTTTCATGAAGAACCACATCATAAGATTGTACAAATTTTTGGATATTTTTTCTCTCTTTTTGACATTGAGTATTTTACATTATATGTAAAATTTTATGATGTTGGAATATTGTGTTGTATTTAAAGGATATATAATTAAATTGAGTCTTTTAAAATTAATAAATATCTTAGAAAATCAAAAATAATTTCTTTAAAATAAATTTATAAAAAGTTTTATAGTTGATTAGTTTATAGCTTTCAGATGTAATAACTTTAGTTTCAAAAGTTAATAAAATATTAATTTTATATTATGTGTCTTTCTTTTGTTGTAAGTTTTAAGTGTTCAGAAAAAAACATTAAATAAGATTTGTTGAATATAAGAATAATGCAAAATAAAAAATTAATATTATAACAAAGATATACTCCAAAAATCACAAAGGTAGTTTAGGATACATGTTGACAAAAATACGTCAAATTCTTGTAATTAGTATAAATTGTGAATAGAATAGAAATAGAAATAAAATTCATAATTTTATTTTGGAAATAAATTTATAATTTATCTCTAAGATATACTTAAGAAGTATTAATTGTAATCTTATTATTATTCATAGATATTAAGTTAAAAACAAAAATAATAAAAATAAATATATATATTATTTATACTCATTTTTTGTAATTCTAAATACCAATTAAAAAACTTAATTCAATTCTCACCTTTAAAATCTCTTTAAAATTATATTTTGATCTCATAAATAACTTAATTAACCAACTATATAAATTAACATATTTTTATTAATTATTTCATAAAATTTTAATTATCAGAAAGTTTGTATTACCTAAAAATATAATTTTATTATATGAAGATTAATATTATGATGAACAATTTAAGATTAAAATTATAAAACTATCAAATTTGATGCTTTTAAAAGTAAAAATTAGAAATATTATTGCATGGCATTGTTTTAAATTAAAACAAGATAATTTTTTCTTTTAAATTTTAATTTTTAGTATTTATGAGACATATACTTTAGACACATTATTATTTGGATTTTAGAGTTTTTATCTCAATCTTTTGATTTTTCTCCAGCTTATGATTAAATCAAAAAATACTGAAATATTATGATGTTTTGTCTAAATATTCTATAAAATATTGATACTTAATTTTTCATCTCTATTATAACTACCATAATAAAACTAAACATATACAAATCTATTTATGTATACATTATTTTTTATTTATTTATTAATTTTTTGTTTATAAATTTGTAAGTATAAAATCACAATTAAAAATTTAAAAGAATCCTCATATTAAATAAAATTTTAACTATTCCAAAATTTTATCAAATAAAATAAATTTAAAAAATATAATAGTTTCAAAAGTTTGTTGATTTTCTATTGAGACATTTAGAATTTTTTAATCACAATTTTATTATTAGAAATAAAATTAATATATTAAAAAGTTTAAAATTACATATATTTAATAAAATATGACTTTTGTGTAAATAAATATTTTCATATACAATAGATTGAGTACTATACATCATTATCAAATAAACAATCAAATAATGATAAAAAAAATATAAAAAATACTTTAAGAAAAAAAAAAGAAATCACAACATAAGTTAAGGATCTCTTATTCTATCATAAAAGAATCAAAGAGTGTTAATGCATATGGAAAGTATCAAGATTTATTAAATGGCTAAACCACCAACTTTAAGTAAATAAAGAACAATATACTTTTTTAAATACTTACATAACTTAACTTGACAAGAATATTAAGTTAAGAAAGATTTCTGTAATATATCCTTCAATTCTAACTTATTGAATGGCAACTTTATCATCAATATGTGACAAATCTATAAGAAATCTTTAGTTTGTTTAAATAGATAAGATGTACATAAAAAACTTTTGTAATAAAAATAAGTCGAATCTTTAAAAGATAGAATTGAAAGAAGTAGTGTCAAAATAAACCACATACCATTAATGTTAGCAATAGTAACACAAAAAGGATACAAAATGTGTCCACTTCACTTGGTATTGCCTCATAATCTTGAGATGGACTATTTATACTACATTAAAACCCATATATCTAATCCTATCGATCAAATCCTACAATTGTTAGGACAGAGGTCTTTTGTGAAGGAGTTCGCTAGTACTATTAAAGGCTTAGCTATGGTAGGAATTAACTCTTACTAAAATATATATATATATATATATATATATATATATATATATTTTTGATGTGAAGGTTACAATATTCTAATCGAATCTTCTAATATATCAAGCTCTTCATTAGCTTTAATCGAGAACCATCTTACTTTTTTCTTTGAATATATATAGTTATATATTTGTCTTAGTTTATTCATGTTGAGTTCTTCTTTATTATAGTATTTGGTCTTCTATAGTTTTTTGTGATTCTGTATCTTAGCAAGAGCTATCTTAGGTCCTACCTTGTTGATTCTTTTATTATAGTCTATACCCATTAAAATGCATGTGTCTATTACTTGAGAGTGGTCTATGTTGAAATGATTATATATACTTTGTAGCATTATAACATCTACATATCCTTCTATCATATCGATATCCTTTATTAGGTAGAGACATCCAAATAACAAACTATCGTAGTCACAACTTAGTACAACATCTACTTCTTTGCTCTGGCACATGAGAGCACACGTAACATCTACTTCATATTCTCCTACTGCACATACATCAAGAGACATAAGAGCTTTTGATATGTTCAACTCTATGCATTCGAAGAGTACATCATAGTACTGCTTTGCATTCCCTTCATATTTGACAAGACAAAATCCCTACTTGA